CCACGGAATAAACTCTAGTACCTAGAAAGAACTATAAGTTCAAGATAAAAGCTCAAAGGTGTGTTCTTTATTTATTTTTATTTAATCAAGCAATACTGTTATAGTGGATTATAAATTATTGTATCATGTAAATATGCAATTTTCTGTTAAAAACTTTGCTTACTAAAGGTTAAAGATTAAAGTTCAAAAGGCAGATATGATATTTACCATAAAATATAATAAATAATGCATTTTTATTTATGAAAATTTTGTAATCAACAAATTTAATAAATATATGTAATTAAAGAGAAGCGAGTAAAATTACATTAGAAGGCAGGACATAGGTATTACATTTGTAAAATAGTCTTATTCTGCCCAATAAAAATATTTCGTCAACGAAATTATTTAATTTAAAATCACTTTAATAGTGACAAAGCTGTAATGATTTCATACATTCTAAAAAAAGTGGTGACCGAGCGGAGTGATTTGGGTTCAATTAAAAGTCGAATTAAAAATACTAAGCCTCTTACTCGTGTGTGTGTAGGAGAGGAGGACGTAGAAGTCGGTGATCTTAGAACTTGTGAACATTTAAGTAATATAATGCGTCCCCCCCCCTTAGAATACTTGACAATGATTTTATTTTAACTATGAGTAGATTTATATTAAAGTTAACAATTATTTACTTAGAAGATCCTCGACACATTACTATTGACTCATATTAACGTAACACACACATTTTCCGTTTTTTTAGGTATCAGATAAAGACCCATTGATTTTGCCTTCAACTTTATCCAATCAATTATTTTGTTTTTTAACTTTTTATATTATTTATACATTTAAAAAGTCGTAAAAAAATTTTTTTTTCTGAAAAGAATTTTTAACAGTGAAGTGAAAAACTAGTTCTTTATACTACTTAAAATAAATATTAATGACTTATTATTTTAATTGCATATATTTGCATTGCTTTCATTATTTTAACTGCATTTACTCAGTTTTACATCTATAGAATTAAATACCACAAATGGAAAACGACATTTCTTTAATAATTACAAAACTGTGATTAAATATTTTTATTATAAAATGTTGTAAAGAAGCCTAAAATCATGGAATTTATTTATAAAACATATTATAAGGAAATAAAACTTATAGCCTTCAGACATTTATTATGAATTATAATCTAAACAACTTTAGATATTAGTAAATAACAGAGAATAATTTTAAAAAGGAATGATAAATTAGAGTCACTGATAAATACCATTAAATACGGGTTCAATGAATAATTTGCTTGTAAATACCGCTAAAATTATAGAATTTTTTCAATTATATGCTGACAATAGATGAAGATTTAAGGATATTCAACACTTATTAACGATCACATTATATGATTTTTTTCTGATCATTGAGAATTCACGAAACGGTGAGATAACAATTATCTTTTAATGACGTATGTACATTTTAGTTAATGATTTTTGATTCATAAGGAATAATTAATTTTTCAACAAAAAGAATAATTGCATTTATATCATGTAGATTGATTAGTGTGCACGGGAAAATATGGGCCCTCTAAGTACAATATAATTGCATCAAGAGTATTTTCGTTTATTTTAATATAGTGCAAAAATTAATTATTCTTTTGAAATGATTTCCATAAGATAATAATTTTAATTTTTCATAGTTTCATAAACGAAATGAAACCTTTATGTGATCAGTATTTTTTGTCATACATTTCTTTACACAATGATGTCGCTTTTTAAAGATAACTTACCCGATCGACAAGTATTTCTCCACATATATTCTTTCTAGTTTTTTTCCTTTTTTTTTCATTAAGCATGTGATCATTGAGACGAGGAATAAAATTTAAATTATTATTAATCATAAAACTAATTATTACTTCAGAAACAAAATTAATCAGAAATAATAACGATCACTTTTGTTTCTTGTCGTAAAATTGATTGTTTTTTTTTGGGGGGGGGGGAACACTAACATTAAATTTGAGTTTTATAATTCTTCTATGAATTGTGATAACGGAACTTGTAAAATATATGCCTAATTAAATACTACATCAGAGGGAACACTTTTAATGTATAATTTAATTTTAGAAATTTTTAGTTATTGCACTGAAAAAGAAGGCGCTCACACGTAATACATTGCTTATAAAGTAATATGGCGCAGAAATAGTTTTAATTACACCACATAAAAAATCAAACCCTTTTAAAATAAAGGAAAAACCGCTTGATATAAGCTTCAAAAAAAATTTTTTTTGAGGAAAGGAACCTGAACATTGCAAGTGGCACGCTTAAATATTCTAAAAATGAGTAGCTTAAGAAATTTTTTAATGATACACTTATTGAAAAATGTTATTTATTTAATACGTATGTTCAACAAAATAACTTTAAAATTATAATTGAATTTTCATTTTTGAATTCATCTCAAATTGTAGATTTTACTGAAGCATATAAACGCGTATCAAATTCATGTAGCTATTCTTAAAAATTAACGAATGTGCTTACAAAACTATTTACTAATCTGCGTAAATTTTATTGTATTGATATTATATGCAGCAATAATGTTATTTATGCTCAATTAAAAATCTATTTCATATTAAAAATGAAGGGAATGCTTAGAAAATTAATCCGATTTGATGTAAGACTTAGTGAAAATTATATTTTAAAATGAATCGGAACATTTCAGTTCTTACATTTTTCATCTTTTAAAGATTGCATGATGAATGCACGGCTCAAACAAGGATTAAAAAAAAAATTTCAAGGAATTTTTTTTATATAGTATTAAACAAAGTAGCTTTCAGATATTATTTTTCAAATTTTTTGTTCTTTTTAATTTTTTTCCTTTTCAAAAATATAAATCCGTTTTGATACCCGAAATTAGCCTTAAATAACGAATTAACCTTAAAGAATGACGAAAACCATAAAAGTTTTCTTAATAATGTCATGTATTACACTATAAAAAATTCCTGATCAAATTATGGTAAAATTACCATCATTCTGGGTGCCGGTACTTCTTACCGTAACGTCCATTTTTATCGGAACATGTTACGGAACAAAAAGTCTGATGTGCCGTAATTTTTACAATAATAATTACCCTGAAATCTCAGAGTCGTTCTAATTAAGTAAATATTACTGTAAAAGTTATGATATTATGTTTCACGGTAAAACGGATTGTGCGGCTGATTCATCCAAAGTATACTATAATTTGATGCGGAATTTTTTTACAGTATTATGTAAAAAATAGGATAGATTACTATATTTTCGCTTTTCAGCATAGCCTCGTTTTAGTCCTCTTTTTGAATTGTAAATGCACAATTTACGTAAAAAAATGAAAATATTAAAACTGTGTTGTTTATTATAATCTACATTTATCTATTTTAATTTAAATTTCTATATTAATTTATTTAATAAAATGCATGATTTGAAGCAAAAAGAATGGACAAAGATTTGAAATTGAGATTCCAGAAATGAACTTATTCAACTATTCCACTTAAAAGTATTCAAGTGGATGAATGTTTTGATTTAGATGAAGATTGATACTGTAGTTGTAGTTGATTTACGTCGCACTAGAGCTGCACAATGGACTATTGGCGAAAAGTTTGATATATATTTCAATTCATTTATTTATTTTATAGTTTCTTCTACCAACGTAATGTAAAATGAAATAAGATTGATCATTTGACTTTGATAAAATCAATCAGCTAAACGCAAAGCACATTTTAGAAGATGCATAAAAAATATTTATTGCGGTTTATTATTTGTACCATGTTAATGCGTTTCATTTACTTTTCTGTTAAAGAAGTTGATTCATGATGACCTATTTCAAAATTAATATATATTTTTTAAATAATTGACGATCCGAATCCTCGAAACTGAATCAAAAATAAATAAATCATGAACGCATGCACACTGATCATTGAAGAGTTTGCCCATGTTACTTCGAGAAGGAAAATTGATATCCTGGGGTATATTAAGGGAGCTGAAAGAGAAACGATTGAACTTTAAATAAGATACTGAGCGCCATCTATCGGCTGTGAAAGTAATGTATTTTTCACTGCTTCAGCAACATAATTCTTATCTAAGTGGTTAATTTCTTTTCACTTATTTATTTATTATTATTATTACTATTTTAATGTATTTTTCTTTACAAGCTAAAAATTTATTCATTAAAAGTCGCCTTAACAGCAAATAGAATATAATCCTTCTTTAATAAGTTATCATGGCATTTTTTAAAAATTTCATTGTTTAAGTTTGGTGTTTTAAAAATATCAACAGAGTTTATAAATAAATAAATCCTATTTTTTTTTAAAAATAAAAGTTCTTTTTTGCTTATTTTAAATTTGCTTTGCTTTATTATTATTATGAAAACTGTTATTATTGTTTTAGTAATCATTTTGCATGCCATATAACACGAGCACATATCAAATATCTGTTTTAGGTTCCTGAAGGTTTGTTTTTATGCTTGATGGGGCAATGCTTAAGATAAGAGATTGACATATCATTAAGAAGAAAGGTCATGGGATAGCCTACCCAGTTTCAGATGGGTGGAACCGAATTGTCAACGAAATAAAAAGCGGCTGATGCGCAATGCTGGGCACTTTGCCGCAGTCATACTATTGGCCATGCAATTGCAAAGCCTTAAACTGCGGAGACTTTCCGGACCAAAACCGGCTTTATTTTTAAAGATTTAGTTGAACATTAAATTGTTATAAATATATAATATTAAAATAAGATATGAAAAATGTGTATTATCTTGCTAATAACTATAAAATTGCTTGCAACTTTAAATTTAGGGTGAAAGACAAGTACTTTAAAACCCGTAAGTAGAAAAATGCATCTGATTTTTATTAAAATTTTTTATAAGAATTAATTTTTTTAAAGCCTTATTTTTTCTAAAACTTTAAAAGCGGTTTATTTGAAGAATGATAACCTATTTTAATTGTTTTATTAATTGATGAATTGGAATAGTTTTAAAGATTAATTCACATATATTTAGAACAAAAGAAAAAGACGAAATTGCTGGCAAATATATAATATTTATTTATAAAATAATTAATTCCTAATGAAAGACATGTCAAAACTTAGAAAAACAAATTTTAGATACATAACAGACACTTATATTGATCACATATTTTGGCCCCATTTGTGGAGGTGTCCTTTAATCACAGTTCCAGATTCTCGTGCATTCTAAAAAAGTATTTAAAATAAAGAGAAGTCAATGAAATGTCTTTACAAAGACTAAGAAATATAAATATTACGTCAAAATTTGAAATGTTAATATTCAAGTCTTTACAAGTTATTAAAAACGTTGTTACTATGAGAGTAAATTAAGTTAATGGAGTTTTTATCGTTAATATATTTCATTACTTTGCCTATCTGATGGAAATTAATTAAGAAGTAAAAAAACAATGAAAACATATTAGTTAGGGTTGCTCTTATATAACTTTAAAAATCCTTATCCGTTTTTTATCCTTAATATGTGCACTTTTTTGTGTGAAAATATAATATCGGTACTGTAAACTATTATGCCGTAAATATTTGCTGTAACTTTAATGTGCTAATAAGTTGAATTATGAATTTTTTAAAGTTAAATCTCAGTATCGTGCTAAATTAAGAAGTATTAACTAACACGTTAATATGGTGCAACTTGACGCTTTTTGAAATTTACCTCAATTTGCGCGATATTGCAGTTAAAGCTGCATGCAGAAAAAAATTCTACTAAAATCTGTACGGTAATGACATTTCAAGTAAAAAAAAAGAAAAAAAAGAAGCATAATTCTGGTTAATAAAAACAGAATAAATGGTATTTAAACCATTCATTTCGTAATTTTCCGCTCAAACGGTAACCGTTTACCGGAAATTTTACTTTTAAATTAATATTTCTTATTGCAACACATTTAGTAAAAAACTACAAAACTGAAAAGTAAAGAATTATTTTTATGCCATGCTCTAAGTCAGTGCTCTCCAACCTTTTTATTGCTATGACCCGATTAACGTTTGATAATTTTACCGCAGCCCTCTGAGAGGGGGTCTGTCGATTATTTATATTTTAGATTGCTTTCATTTAATAATTCTATTGTATTTAAACATGGCTTCAAAATAAAATGCAATTATAAAAGCAGATTTGTGCGTCTTTCGGGGACGTCCCTCAGTTCACGGTTAATTTCTCGTTCACAGAAAGTTGTAGAAACGTGGGAGAAATACTCCACAGTAAATAAAGTGTAAATAATTTAAGGTTCCTTGGGCGGCCCGGGGGTTGGAGAACTCCGCTCTTAGGCATCATGATGAAATTACCAAATTTTACCACATTTACTAAATTTTATCACTTTCTTAAAGCCATATTTTGTTGTTAACATTACCAAAACCATTATTAAAGTAAAACCTTCCGAGTTATTCGATGATCCCCTAGAGCCAGAAACATGGTAAATTTTACCATGTTCTGGTAGTTTCGACCAGAATTAGCGTGTTAAAACACATGGTTGAAGCAGATTTTTAACCACGGAACTTTGCCATCATCCTTGCATAGTTTCTATATATTTCATAGCTATCCTTTGTTTATTTAAATAGTTTAGTAAGTTTCTTGAATATTTACACAGTACTAACTATATACGCTAAATTGTGTATTTTTTATTTCTAGAAATTTTGATGTAAGAATTATTAATAACTGCTATTAAAATTTTTTACTGTTATAAGAATTATTAACAGTTATAAGAATTATTTAAGTAGTGTATCAAATATCCATATTATATTCTCACCTATAGATCCATAAATTTACCAAATTAGAGGCTTTCCAATGATACCAGCTCCAAGAATACCGGGTGCTCCAAGAATGGCTCCATGGCCAACTACGCTGCTATATGAGGAAACGCTGGGTGCAATAGCTGGAATCAAAGGAGCTAAGCCAAGGGCAGGGGCAATAGCTGGTACTACGGGAGCAACTGCTGGAGCTATTGGTGGGGCGTAAGGGCTGTTGATGACTGCGGCTGCTGGGGCGCTGAGGGCGGTTCCTTGTTCATTTGTGCTGACAGAAGCTCTGAATCCTGCAGCGTCAGCAACATAGCTGACTTTTCTAGCTCTTCCGTCGACGTCGGTGAGAGTGTATGATCCAATTTTATTTCCAGCGGCGTCTCCACTTTCTGATCTAGAATTGGTGGCTCCAATTCCATCAGCGATTCCATAGCTAAATGCGTAATTTCCTAAACCCTATTGAGAAGATACCATAATTAAAAACCTAATTGTATAAATGGTGTATATAATGGAATATTAATTTCTCAGAGGCAGTGAAAGCAAAAAAAGCGAAACGATAAGCTGTTATAGTTCAATAATCCTGCTTAAAAGGGAACTTTGTCGCTTAAAAGTATAGATGTACAATTAAAATAATATATGATCTGATATCTTTTCATCAAGATATTCAACCGATAAAATTATGATTAAAATGAAATAGTTGGTAATTTTTGAACACTTGAGTTTTTATGTGCGACTCAAAAAAAACTCTTATTAAAATAGTGTTTTTTTTTTTTTAAATTAAAATTTTTTTTTTATTCAAATGAATATTTTTTTCCTGTTAGCACTTGATTTTTGAAAAGAATGAAAAACAATTGCTTGATATAAAAACAGCTCTGTTTCAAATTATCGAATTCTTGTAATTCGCTTGACGTATTTGTCACGCGAGGTCAACATGTGCTAAAAAGAGTATAAATATATCTACAAGTTATTACTTTGTAACGCTTTTTAATGCAATAATAGTTTTCCTATTAGCGCAGGCGGAAATAAAATTTAAGAATATGACAAGCCTGATAAAATCATAACATCGATGTTTTGCAGTTGGCAAAGTATCTTCAAATATATGCTACTTAAAAATAAATTAATAGTTTTTCTTTTGCTTTGTTTTTTAGTACAAAGTTTTATTTTTAAGTTCCTAATTATGATATGATGTAAAATAATATCGAGTTTATACTGTTTTTTTTTTTTGCGAAATCGTCTTTTCCATGATTGAGGAAGATATTTCTTAGAATTATAAAAATATATGGGACTGATTTCATTGACTGATATTATTATTTTTTCTTTGTCAAAATTCTTAAGAGTATGTCAACTCGATGTCTTCCGTACAATAAAAATGTTAAACGTTTTTTTTTCTTACTTTCATCATTACATTAAGAGAAATAACAATTCCTACGTTATGTTTTCTTAAACAATTACAATTACAACAGTTACATTTTTTTTAAAACTTTTACCACATATTAAGAGAAATAACAATCCTTACGTCTTGTTTTCTCACGTTACTGCTTACTCCTGTGCTAAGAAGAGGAGCTGATAGAAGAACATTGGCGTTTACAGCTGCAAGTGCAACGCACAAGATAATTGTCTACAAAAAAGAGAAACCAATATCCATTATTTTATTGAATTAATAAATACTCAAAAATATTTTTTGATACAAAAATTTTGCCTATTCTAATGATTTCTTTGGTTCCATGAAAAAACATATACTCCACATTTTTAAATTTCATTCCTCATATGTTAACTAAAATTCCTGCACATCATTCATGGCAACATTTCTAAGTTATGATGCCATTTCAGTAGTTGTAGAGTTATGAAATAATCTATCAATAGATTTATCAATAAATAAATAATAAATAGTCAATAGATTAGTAGTTTCTTAACAACTACAGTTGTTTTAGAATTGCGTAACAATTTCTTTAAATATGATTTTAAAACCTTGGCCGAAATGAAGTAAAATAATTGCACACATTAATGGTCACAAATTAGTATTAAAGGGAAGAAGGAATAAGAACGATATCAATATTTATCGAATCAATAAAGAGGTAAGCCTGATGAAAAATATTAAGCATAGTATGATTGCATAAAGAAATTGGTATGCACTTCGAAGGAAAACCTTTCAACACACCTGCTTTCTGTGACAATCGAACAGGTTATTTTGCTTTCTGTTCCGCCTTTCTCAATGGTGTTTCGATAAATTTAGGTATCGTTTTTATCTTTTTTTCCGTTTAAATATCAGAATCCTGATTTGTCTAGTTTTGAAAAACTTTATTTTTGATAAAGATTCTAAAAATATACATTATGAGCGATTTACAAACCAAACTACTAAAATAATTTTCAAATTTAGCATTGGTAATTTTTGTCTTTAGAATAAATAAAACATGATTTAATGTTTCCTTTGTCAATAAATGAAAAGTTAGTGAAAAACACAATTTTTCTCTGAACAGTAAAATGAATAGATTATTTCTTGATCGTTCTTTGACATCCAATTTTAAACCTTTTTTACAGAAATAAAAGTAACATATCAGTGAACTTCAAAATTATTCTCTAGTAATATTTTATAGGTGGTACAATATTTGAAAGTTAATCTATTTTATGTATATGTGATGAATGCAGATGGTTACAATCTATCCATTAATTTTAAAAAATCTATGAAAGATTATTTTAATGCATTAATATATTAAATTTAATATTAAATATTTATACAATTATTTCAGTAAACAAAATATAAATATACAGTTTTTTAATATTTGAAGAAAAATTCTGAATGGGACGTTGGCATTCGTGTTCATTTTAAAGGAATGTCTCATACGGGGGGTGAAATTATTCATTGATAATTCAGATGTCTCTGATTCATCGATAATTTATAGGTCTCTTTTTTATTTTTTTATTTGTTTTCTTTCCCTTATATCATTTCAAAATCGAAAAATTTCTTATTTATGGGTCAATGATTAATTAAACTGAAGTATGGCTTATTTCCAATCTATTTCTATTGATAGAATTTAAGCTAATTAAGGTTATGTATTATAATATTTTAAAGAGATTATTAGAAGCTATTAACTTAAGATACAACTTTATATTGTCAAACAATGTTTTAGGCCTTACTATTTCTATAATATAAATTTAGCAACTGATTAAAATAAAGATATTTTTACGAATTATGCTGATATTTTTCCTCTGATCTTTTTTGTGAGAACGTAAGGATATTTCTTATCTTTCATGTTATTAAAATGTAATCTATACTTAATAGTTTCGATAATTATGACAGTATTTTCTACAGTAAAAATATCTTCATTTTAAAAACAATTTATGCTAAAAACAATTTCAGGGGATTCATTATTTTATTATTATTCATTTTAGTAATACTGATGTTTTTTTTATACATAATCTTTAATAAATGTTATTTGTTAAAGCAATTTTTTAATATTTTTAAAGAGGCTATTTCACAATGAGAATAAACTTTGGGGAAATTACCGTACTGTATAGTAAAGATATTTCTGGTAATAAAACCAAAATATACGGTATTTAAACTATTCATTTGGTAGTTTTGCCGTTCATATGGTAACTGTTTTACCGGAAGTTCTGGTTTTCATAATTATAGTTTGTTTACTATAAATTTAGTAAAAAATATATAACTGAAAAGTAAATTTAACCGCATAGATGGTTTTTATGCCATGCTCTAAGTTATCATGATAAAATATGACCAAATTTCCAACTTTTATCCCATTTACCATATTAACACATAAAATAAAATTAGATTTTATTGTCAATTTTACAAAAATCATTACAAAAGCGCCTTAGTAAACATTTCCATGCTTTTTGGTGTTCCCATACAGTTAGAAATACTGTAAATGTTACCATATTTTGATAGTTTTGACCATGCTTTTTTTCTCATTGCAGTCATAACAATATGTTAATCTTCTTTAAAAATAGTACTGCCAAATAAAAAGTTTTGAACATAAAACATATAAGGTATGAGAAAACTTGTTTAAATAATGTGAATTTTATGGGAATTTTTTCTACAAAATGATACGCAAGACAAACTCGAACATTTTATATAACATACATTAAAAGCTGCCATCTAAATTTTAATGCTACTTAATCAAACTATTTATGAATATAAAACTTTCGATAGTTTAACAGTACTTTATGTAATTATTCAATGCATTTCATTTTATGGTTTTTACAATCATTTAAAGGTATTCTTATAATTAGCGATGCAAATTTTTAAAAAAAGTTGTAACTATTGGATTGTAAAAACTAAATCTAGAGACAGAAAATTATTGGGGCATAAGTATTTATGCCTATTATCATATATAAACCAGAACTAATATTTTCAGAAATTTCTTACCTTAGCGATCATTTTGGTGGATGCGTTCAAAGATCACCTGAGATGATATCTATTTGATGCACAAACACACCGAAACCAATCTATTTATACTTATAATCTAACGGTGCATTCAAGGACAAAGATTCCAGAAATCAGCAAAGATGGGTGGGGCATCAATTATAGTTATGCGTAAACAAGTGACAAACATCTGAATATTTTAATTTTCTTTTTATCAGAAGTGCGAGGGATTGTTTAGTTCTTCTGAAGCAGCTTCCTAATTAGCATATGCAAACTGGTTCTAACCTGATTTCTTGAACCAGATGGAACTATTCGACCTTTCTTCAACAGAATATGTTACCTTGACAATATTGCTTTCTTGTAGGGTTTGGGGTGATTTAAGTTAGTGATCACTTCATTTACACGTGATAGACTGAAGGGACGCTGGAAAATTTTTTCTTTTAAATAATAGATCGATTTGAGAGGTTTTAAAAAAAGTATTTTTTAAATTATTGAAAGGCGTGGTATTTTCTTTGATACGAAAAATTTCTTTCAAATTCATTGTTTAACTTTATTCGCTTGTTTAGTAAGAAAAATATTGCGCTTTTGTTTTTAGACAACCATTTCTTCAAATGGCTTCAAATTATGAAACTTAAAGTAAGTCTACAGAACAAAATGTGTCCTGCATAAAAAAAAAAAAAAAAAAAAAAAAAAAAAAAAAAAAAAAAAAAAAAAAAAAANACTCGAGCACACGGTCTAATGTAATGTCAAATAAACTAAAGATTTTATGTTTTAGGATTTAAAAGTTTTATGGTTAAACATAAAAAAATATTGATTGATTCCATCACATATGTAATGATGAAGACACACGGTGGTTCTTGATTTCTGAAAGTTATAGTTAAATTTAAACCACTTAATAAAACTTTTCGGGAAAGCTTGCTTGATTTGTGAGATAGCAAATATTTTCATGTTTTATCTCTTTTTATAGAGAAAACATCAAGAAAAAAATATAACGAATATCATTCATTTCTTTTTACTTACTCGTATCCCATTTAGTCAATCCATAAAACATCAGTTAAAATCTTTGCAAGCAGGCATAACTGATAAAAAATATAAGCAATATGAATGAAAAAGTTTATTTATTCTTTAGAAATTTAAATCGTCATTTCATACATAACAAAACTGTTTTTATTTTTCTTCTGTTAACTTAACTATAAAAGCAACTAAATAATGATATGAATTTATTATTGCTTTGAAAAATAAACTGCCTTACATAAACTTATTATGATTATGTAATGCTCGCTTAATGATGACTGAAAATTAAGAATAAAATTTAGGGTTCACCCTTATTTTTTACCTTAGAAAATTATGAGCTTCTATTGCTATTGATTTGCCTATGAAAACAAAGATTTGAAGTAATTTTCTATGGGTAATAAATTATTTTGCTCAACTTTATTATGCTTAGGTAGTTTTATTTAATAACAAGTTCAAATAATTAAAAAATATTGAAATTCACCATTCAAATCAATCTTTTACTGCAGAAATGTAATGTACACCAAGCTTTTTAGTTAGCTTCTAGATATGAAAATTATTTGAATAATTAAATGCAAGAAAAAGGAAATGAAACGTAATCAGTTAATCTTAAAAGATATAATACAGATTTCACAATTAAGGAATAAAATCGATGTCATTTATACACATATTCAGGATTCATCAATGTAGGGGTAGTTGCTACTTTTTTTCGGAATTCAGAGCATGAACACACCCTTGTCCAATTATCCTTAGAATTTCTTTCTTAAACCCAAACCTCAAGAGATGTAATATCATAAAATAGCCACAATTTGGAATAGGTAAAGTCAAATAAAACATTACTTGATGATCTATTTTCGGATCGATAACAGCAATACAAGACCCCAAACTTATGACTTGAAAGTGAGCATCTATAATTTATCAGTTTAAAAGCTGTGGCCAGTTTACTACCAGCCTGCCCAAGAGATCCAGCTACCTGAGACCGGTACAATATATAAATGTTTAACTTTCTTTACATATTACTATCCGAGACCACTTCAGTATGAAAATAAGAGCCGCGAAACTCAAGGAATAGAGCGTTCGTTTTCCAATGAAATGAACCGGGTATGAATCCCAGTGATGGCTAGTCGTTACGAATTCCGCATTCGGCTTGCGCCGACCACTCTGCAGACGTAAAATATTCTCAGTGGTAGACGGATCATGGGTTAGAGTAACTATGGGAGGTTTTCGTGGTTTTCCTTTCCATGTAACGCAAATGCGTGTTAGTTCCATAAAAAAGTCCTACACGAAGGCAAAATTTCTCCCAATACTTGTTCCAGGAGCTCCCTTGTCTTCTGGAGTGGGTTCCAAATTACAAGGCTACAAAGTTGAACATTAGTAGTCGTAAACCCAAATAATTGGGTCAGCTGTTCAACGGCAGTTATAAAATATGTGAAGAAAGTTGAACTTTTACTATTGCAATATTTGACATAAATGATCTTACAACATGTGAAATTAACATTTTAATGTGAAATTATGTGAAATTAACATTTAACATAAAAAGAGCAGTAGTATAAACGTATATACATGTACATTATACAGCTTTGCACTTTATTAGTAGTTTAGCCCTTCAAACACTGATTCCTGGTACCAAAATTTATCCACCATGCATCTCTTCTATACAGGAGAACTATTCCATCAATGCAGGATTCCATCAATGCATCAATGTTGCATCTTCTCGGCTCATAATTTTTATACATTTATTTTCTCGGCTCATAAGATTTTATACGAGATTTAATAATTTTTCATTCGCAATAATTTTTCAAACTAATCTATGAAACTAAACGGTTCTTATGAACATTTATTGTGCTTTTAAATGGTGATTACTTTCGTATCAGAGCTTTATTATGAGTTCATACCTGCTGGATACAGTTAATTTTTTTTCCAATAAATAGCCAATGACCTGAATAAGCGACTTGAATCTTTTTTAAAATAAGGTTCTAAGAATGCTTCTACCAATTTGTCTAAAGATTAATTCATTTAATGGTGATTAAATTTTTTGAATTTTCGGTAATGTCAAAGAAGTTGTATTTTGAAATTTGTATTTTCTCACTCAATCGATGTTCACAAAATTTTGGAATTTGTCGTTTTAAATAACGCAGATTCAATTAATATGAGAACCTGTATAACTTACATTTCAAAATTTCGACTATTTTTAAATAAAATGAAGCGATTTTTTACATGGAATTTTCATTAGAGAAACGACTTTTATAATTGTGTACTAAAAGGTTTTAATTCACTTCATCAGTACCGAGATATAAAAATTATGACAATTTTTTCCATTGCATAATTAATTGGCATATTTAAGGTTAAGGCCTGAATCCATTGAGATTGAATTCTAGTTTTTGAAAATCCAATCACCAGATTAAGAGTTATTTAAGTTTTCTCTTTTTTACACACTGTAAGTTATTAGAAATACTATTTTTATTAAACACCTAAAACATTTGTGATTTTTAACAATTCGGAGTATTAACTTTTATATTTGAGTGTTTTCAAGACTGAATTACAATGTAAATCCAACTTGAAAAAAATCTTTTAAACTCTTAAAATTTTAATAAAGATGAGTGACAATACAATCAATTAACATATTTTTCCTTTTGGAATTCTTAGACTTTTTATTTTAAATAATAATAATATTAATAATAATAAACGATATGAAAATGATAAAACTAAGAGCCAAGATTAGTAAATGGTGAATGGTGACTGGTTAAATCTGTCGGGTCACATAGTCCTCCATGTTCCCATAACAAATATAACCTCTTGGGGTACTGAATTGTGGACTGAACGTTCTTTGATTCCGGTCAAAATTTTGTTTTCTGAATGCATGAATGGATCTGCCTTGCGGGTGTGACGTATGGGTATAGCAGAAGTTGAATTCTTGACCATAGATGGCGCCATTGGAAAGTAAGAACAATCACACCCCTTTGCCTTAATGGCCAACGACAACAACAACAACCTATAAGATTTACGATTGGCATATTTGACGCGCATTGGAACTTTTGATATTAAGATTTTAAAATAGATTACTATCAAATGTTTTTATGGCTTATTCTACAATGGGGACTTTTTATTTTATGTTGAAAGGAAGCTTTCAACTCCTAAATATTTTTCTTTCGTTTAATAATATATTATGTGTACATCTGTTTTCTAGCATATTTTTTCTAATGACATACAGGGTAGATTATAAGATAGAAATAGGATAAAAATTTTAAAAAAAATATTGAGCTACGTGGTTAATAAAAATTATTAAAGCCCAACATTTTTTTAAAAAAACTTGCAACTTTTGGTCACAGATAAGCTCTTTAACAAGCGTAACGTAAAATATTGACTGTCAACAGCAATGACTTTCTAAAATGTTAAAGTTTACAATAAGTAACGTTAAAAATCTAAACAAAATCTGGAAGTGTTTTAGATATAATATGTTCTTTATTCGTGATCAATTTTTTAAAAAATGTAGGATGTGGAGTATGAGTTAATTGAAAATGTATTTAAATAATCATTTACAAAATTTTTCATTTTTTTACAACTTAACAGATAAAGTATTATGTATGTTCATTTATAATGCAATATATTACTTGTTGGTTCCTTGGATCCAAAAAATCAACGTAATGCTGTATTGTTTCCCTAAATGAGACTATTTGCATGCAAAATTGCAGAATATCTTAGATCCCCCCCCGTAATTCATACAAATTACAATATGATCATAGAACTATTAGGATTAGAGGATTTATAAGTATTTTATCCTATTTTTTCCCACTCAATAATTTTTTGCTTACATGCATTATTTTACTTATGATAACTCAAGTAAAGTTGTCTCCGCACTATGTCTTCGAAATTAAAGTGTGTTTAAAAAATAAAAATCTTAATTTACAATTTTAAGAAAATTAATGCAATGTGCAAAAGTATTACAGTAATAAATTTAATATGCGCGACAAACTAAATCGTTTTAAAATCTATTACGCGAAAATAAAATATACATTTAAAATTCGCAAAGACAAATGCTTTTGTTTACTTCCTTTAATTGTCAAGAATTATCTGATGCAATTAAACAGCTTTATTAGTAAATAACACTGAAAATCAAATAATTATTCGTATTCCATTTTACATGGTCACTTTGATGGGAGGGGCTAACCAATGACCTTAGAAAAACCGGTGATGGTTAAAGCTTCCGTTCCACGCACCCGATATTTTTGGTCGAACAAAATGTATAAATACTGTTTGAATCTTAGCTATTGATAACAAGCCAGTAGCTTCAAGATCTCACATCACAATGATTGCTAAGGTAAGTCAATATTGATTTGTTGTTTTATTATGTTTGCAGTAATAAAAATGTACTTTTTCGTTAAAAAATGAAATATATTGAAATGTTTTTTCAAATCCAAATATTTTGGAGTCTAAACCTTTTTAATAAAAACTTTAAAAAATGGGTTCAATATTTCTATAAAATTAAAAAGGAATTATTTCAAAATTTTATAGCTCTAAAATTTTTCAATGATATCAGTCAGCTACTTTTACTGTTTATGTTTTTTTAAAAATTTAGTACAGAAAGCAATGGTTTAAAAATTAATTATATTAAATCGTTTTAAGTTGAATATAAGAGTTACTTGTACATAAGCGTTGGAATTTCAGCTTTTTGAAAAAAAATGTTATTTACCGAAATGCCACACTGAGAAAAAAGTACGGTCAAAACTACTAAAATATGGTAAAACTTACCGTGTTTCTGGCTCTATTGGAACACTAAAATGTACGTTAATTTTAACGAAAACATTTTGGTAATGATGTTCTTGTTAAATGACCAACAGAATATAGTCTTATATTAAATGATAAATTAGGTAATTTTATTATGATACCTTAGAACATAAAACCATTTATTCGTTTAAATTTGCTTTTCAGTTATGTATTTTCACTAAATGAATTCGGAACTATAATTTTGAAAATCAGAATTTCCGATAGACCGTTACCTTATGAATAGTTTTAATACCATATATTTTAGTTTTATTACCAGAATTATGTTTTCTTTACCAGAAATGTTTTTAACATACAGTAAGGTAATCTTATTAATTTTTTTCCAAAGTGTAACAATTGATATTTAAAAAATAAAAAACAAATAAAATAAGATTTAACATGATGGGTTGAATCATATACAGCCATAAACAGATTTCCATTTCCTTCGGTATAGAGTCACATAGAACAGAGTAATTAAGACATGAACAAAACAAAATGTTCAGTAATTATCCTGCTGTTTTAGAAAATTATTTTAAATTTTGCGGCTGGGACTTCAAAGAAAGAAAGATTAAAAACTCATTAAAAATTATGAGACAGTTATTAATTAATTTTATTTAAAAAATTTAAGCTTTTGAAGTCTCGTGTAATTTATTATGTTTGTATGAATCCGGTCTTTAAAATATAAACTTTGTTTCAAAATCTGTTTTCTTTTAAAGCCTTAAAACCATTTTAGATTAAAAACGACTTTAAATATTCACCCTTAATTTTTATTAAAATTTGAACAAAAACAGCATTTCGTTTAATCTAAAAGTAAATATATAAGTTGTATTTTTATGCAATTTTAAAATCAAATTATTGAACTTTATGTTGAATTTTGAAATTGAAATATTCAATTGAAAATTAAGAAAACCACATTTGTTTAAATATTGCTTCAAATCTGAACATGTCTCTTATATTTTGGTCATGAATTTTGAAAATAGTTTTTCAAATGGCGTATAAATTTTTAAAAAAAGTCTGTTTTTCTTAAATTTTAAAAAGTAAATTTTTTAAAATCTGAAATCACCCCATTTACATCTTTCTTTGGCATTCAAAGCTATTTCTTAATGAGTCCGGTGTTAGGTGACATAATCTAAAAACTCTTTAAAAACTCCAACCAATTTTTTTTTACATTGAATTACTTCTTTAGCAATTTTAAACATTTCAATAACAAACAATTTTTAAACTGCATTTTAAGCAGTATTTTTCCCCAAGGAAAATAAAAAATTTCTTTAAAAAAAAAAAGTTCAATTCTAAAAATGTAAAATTAAATTCAAATCAGATCTAAATATGAATATTTCAATTGTTTTTATAAAAATGCTTTAATTTTTCAGTTCTTTTAAGTATTTTAACTAAGCAATTATGAGGAAACTTTAGGACTCGATTGATATATTTTAATTTAGATTTCCAGAACTAAGTTGATGCTAAATACGTAAAGATGTATTAGAAGTTTCGATGTAAATAATGTAATATTTGTTATTCTACTGAAAAACTTATCATAAAATAATTTTTTTACTCTTTCTGTGCACTTCTATTCATAAACGCCTGAAAACACCACAGATTGTTATACACACACAGAACTCGAGTTATATCAATCTGTGGTGTGAGCTACGCTAATTAAGTGAAGTTTAAAAAAGAAAACAATATCACCACCATATTTAAACAAAAAATGAGTGAAAGACAATTAGCCACCAAGATTATTCCTCAGTCATTTTTTACTTCTAAGCGTTAATAATAATTTCTGTTATTTATTGAACTCATTGTTATATGATATGATAATAACACATTAACAATTTTTGTGGGCGAGATAGCCTGGTTGGTCGGGTGTTCGACCCATGTTCAAAAGGTCGTGACTTTGATCCGCACCGATTGAAGACTCCCGTGTAGTAAAAGGTGATTGGCACAGGTTAAATCTGTCGGGTCACAAAGCTCTCCACGTTCCCATAACAAATCCATATCTCTAGTGGTACTGAAATGGAGATTGATCGTTCTCTAGTTCGGGTCTAAATTATGATCTGTTGATGAATGAATAGATTTCCACCTTATAAACGGGTTGTGTTGTGAGTGTGGCTGAAGTCGTATTCTTGGTCATAGATGGCGCCATTGAAAAACAAAAAACGCACCCTCTACCTTAAATTCGCTTTATTTCACCAAGCAGGGTTGCTAATATTGGCAAGTCGCATTAGAAACAACAACAAAAATTTTTCAATGCCTTTACTTTTCACGTTAAGTCCTGCTGAATTTAGTAATAAAATACCATTTTGATTTTTGTGGAGTGTCAGAAGTTTTGATTAATTAGATATTTTATTCTTTTCAGATTGCTCTTTTATTTGCCCTTGTGGCGGCTTCCCAAGCAACTCTCATTGGTCCAGGACTCATCTCCCCCCTTGCTATACCCACAACAGTCAAAACGGGATCCGTCGTCTCCATTCCAGGAGCAACAACTGTTGATACTAGAGTGATTGGAACCAATGGTCTGATCGGAGCACCCCTTCTTAGCTCTGGTTTGATTGGTGCACCTGTTATTGGAAAGAGATTGATTGGATCCCCCTTGGGCATCAACTCTGGATTGATTGGAGCACCCTTAGCTATCAACTCTGGATTGATTGGAGCACCTTTAGCTATCAACTCTGGATTGATTGCTCCAGGACTTGTTGCTGCTCCAGGAATTATATCACCTCTTGGTTCCCGTCTTTTGGCACCAGGATTAGTAAAAACCATTCTTAAGTAAATGTTTCGAATGCCTTTTTAGAAAATAAATTGGCTAAACGTTATGACAAAAGTGAAATAAAATGCTCTTGAAACTTCGAATAAAAGCTGATAAAACCTTATTTTGTTGTGTGATGTATTTCTTACAGATCTGATTTCTAAAACTTTGTCAGAATGTGAGAAGAAGGATTATATTCTCATTAATATTTACAGTTTGATTTAAAAAGGTTTAACTATTGAAATTTTATAAAAATAAAGTTTATCACAATTTTTTTTAACGTTATATGTGGTTATAACTTGATAACATTATTGTCTCAAAGCCCAAGGCAATATTTAAATTCTTCCGCTTTAAAATATAAAACGTATGTAGGTAATAAGTGAGTTTCATATCGTTATGAGAACCTCGCTAGTATTTTTTTTCTGCTAATAATGATACTTCAGAAAAAAAAGCCATGATAATCAATGGTTGGATATGAACTTTTATCGTCCTATCTAGGATCTGTTAGGCAGCTGTGTTCATCTTAGAATTGCGCAGAAGCTAGTATAATATCCCATTTTTTCCATAGTTTTTTCTATTTAATTTGATTAACAGTTTTAATGACTAATATTTAACCTTTAACTATCTTTTGATTTTCAAATTCCAAACTTTAATTATATCGGTTTAGCAATAACCAATTCTGTTACTTTCATATTGGAAACTAATAAATTAATTAAACATGATTTGGTAATATTTGAATTATTATTATTGGTATTAATGCGCTTAGTTTTTAAATCCGTTTCTAGTAAATATTTCCCTCTGATATTCCTATATATAGTACGAAATTTAAATATTAGACAAAAAATTTTCTTTCATGTTTTTTACATAAATTTTTTTACCGGTATATTTCACAAAGATTTTGCAGCCGTTGTACCTGAAATTTGACTAAATTGTTTAAAAATTAAATTGCTTAATGGTTTGAAATAGCGAAATAATTTTTGTATAACCATTTTAATTTTTTCAGTTTTATCAAAATTATGCGACATAATCTTATATAAATTTCAGACGACTGTTTAATAATTATATAACTTTAATCTCAATATAATAGATCGGTATTTCCTACAAATAAATACTGAGATGCTTTTTTAAAAGACTTTATAAAAAATGTGAAAATAAAATTTCTTTAAATATAATAAAGCTTTTATATCATACTATGCCAAGTCCCATTTGATAAAATTTATTTCAATTAAAAAAAAAAACCAAAACATATTCTTATCTCTGTTAAATAGATTAAAAATCCTAGTATTCTATCTTCGAAATATTTGTTTTAAATTTAATTACTCAATATTTTTAAAATTTAATATCATTTCAAGGACAGAAACGATCGCAGTCTGTTAAAATTCCAGCAAAAATTGTAGAAAAATAAGCAAAAATATCTAAATGTTTTGAATTCCTTAGAAATGATCTCAAACAACATGTTAAACTAAGATTTTTGAAAGCAGTTGCAGCCCTTTTTAATGAGTTAGTTAAATAGTCAGCCTTTTTGCAACAGCTGTTTAAAACCCATTCATTAAAATATTTTTACATTTAGAGTAATTGTTTTTTTAAATTCCTAACTTTTAAGTGCGAAGTTTCGTCGACACGCTTAGTACGGAAAAAAAGAACTAGTGTTTTGGTTTTAAATTATATTTTCTATTCAACGAAGTCTTTGTTTAATTGAGCTAAGATAAATAGTACTTCAATGCATTTGATTTCTATCACTGTACTTTTATTAAAAAAGAGCAGTCAATACTGACAAGAAATGAAAGAAAAATGCTGTGTGAAATGTTAATTTTCACAAAGTTGAAAATTGTTTCGGATAAAGAAATAAGGCGTAATTCTAAAAATTTATATTTTCTGTAATAGTAAATCTGAATTAAAATATAATGTTCTTTCTGTTACTATAGGTAATTAATATCCTAATAGAAATAGAACTTTCATTCGAGTAATTTTTCTCTTTGATAATATATTTATATTTCACGATAAAAGGCACTATGATTTTATATTTGAACGTAGAAAAAGTAAAAAACTTTTAGTAGCTTTTCTGTGGAAAAAGAAATCACGTGATTAGTGATGAAAACAAGCACTCTTTGACAAAGCTGTTTCCTTACTTGTTGTTCTCTCAGTACATTCTATGATTTCATTGATTTTTTCTTAAGAATCTGATTTAAAAATTATGTATGACGGGATGGATTGGAACTAATGTGAAGCAGATTTCCTGGCTCTGTAGTTTGATTAACACATTTTAGCAAACACTTTTTATTTTATTTTATACTATCTAAATACTAGGTTTTCGTACGGGAATAAATGAAAAAAAATCCGTAAATTATTATTTATCAGCAGTACATATTAGGCACAAAACTGAAAGACATATGCCAACTCAATTGCAAAGCTCGCATTATCTTAGCAGAACACTATGCCCTTTCTGTTGATCAATTCTAACATTTTCTGTTAAAGTGAATCATTTTTTTGTCCAACTAATGGAATTACACATGTGGGGACGGCAAGAGTGGTCGTCTTTGAAAATAAAATGAGGCACTGTTCTTTAACAAAAACATATATTGAAAAGAAATTTACATAAACATGGACGATTAACAATCACATAAATAACACAAAAATAAATGAGTTCGTCTTTGCGATGTTTTTAGACAGTTACTACTCCTCGTTGGAGTCCATATACGTCTTTATCGGTTACATCATTTACAACTGTTACAACTGTTGATGATTCTTTATCGGTTACCTGTTCGGTTAGTTCCTAACCGCGCTCTGATCTTAGGGGAACCCCCATTGCTTCCTTGTCATGCGCACAGGGACCAGCTTCCAGCTTACATCGTTTGGTTGGACTTCCTAGCTTAAGGCAAATTCTAGTGGACGGATATGAGAACTGAGATCAGCGTACAGCTTTGTGTACAGGAGCTGGTACCACACACATGACTTCAACCAAGCAAAATTGATCTTTATGTTGTTTGGTTGAAGCTAAAAAAACTATTACTTTGAAATATCGAGAGACTATCATCAATATCGACTTTCAAAGTGGTTTAAGCCGATTCATCTTAATTACTCCATAAGTTTTGTGTTTAAGAGTATTGTAAGCAAACCATTTCTCACCTCTAGTTGATGATGCACTTCAAAAATGAATCATTTTCAAGAAAATCACAGACGTCAACTCCATGACACAACATGGAGAATATGGAGAACCTAGCTTTGAATTTAAATCTAGTTTTTTTTTATTCATACATAGGCTTATTCCAAGAAAAAAAGAATATGGCAAATTCACCGTATTTTCTAATTCTGTGGAAACACCAAACGTACAGTAATTTTTTATCGAAACGCTGTGGTTATAGTTTTGAAAAAATTGATAGTAAAATATTGTTTTACAATATGAGTTAAAATTTGGCAAATGTGGTAATTTTATCACGATACCTTAGAGCATAAGCATAAAAAACCAATTATTTGGTTACATCTATTTTAAAGGAATGTATTTTTTTCTTTTAAAATTGTGATAATGTGAATTAGAATTTTAAAAATCAGAATTTCTAGTACACCTTTACCATATGAACGAAAAATTACCAAACGATTGGTTTAAATACCAGATATTTTGGTTTTATTACCAAAATTATGTTTTTTCTTTTACCACGAATAAGATATTCGTGGTAAATACCAGATACTTTTCTCGTGTATGAACAGTCAAATTCAATAAATTTAATCTCTTAACTATTTCATGAGATTTTATTTCTTCGTTTTGCATTAAACAATAACTTTATTGTGTCTTCATCGGCTTTGACTGCCCTTTTAGAACATGATGTATCTTCAACATCAAAATTACGGGAGCTCAATCTTGCTAACCAGTTTTGACACAGGAATTCTGTCAATACACGTTTCCCATTCACATTGGGTAATTTTTTCTTGCTTGGACAGCATTTTTATTTTTTCTATAGTATAAAAAAAACTATGCGGAAATTGCAGGTTTTCAATTTCCATCTTTGAAAAGACACAGACCTAACACTTAAGTGTAGAATCAATCGAACTCTTTTACAAGCAGGCATTGCTATATCAGCAGTCAAAATGTAGAATGATTATATGACTTAAGTATGAATTTGGCTGTGAAAAAATACAAACAAGCTCTTTATAAGGAAAAAAATGAAATGACTTTCTGTACTCCCCATGGCTAGTCCTAAACCTCTGAGAAAATTTCCTTTTTCAAATGTCTCTCCCGAATGATCCAATTAAAAGTTTTGAAAGATCGGGGTTTAAAATTGTACCTTTCGCCCGCTGTCCGAATTTTTGGAAGTTAGCACAAACGGTTCTAGAGTTATAAGGAAAACACATAGACAAACACATTATTATTAAAGATTCCATAACCATTTGTATAATCAGTGAGTTTCAATTACGTTTACCTTCTCAGAAACTATTTCTCCTAGTTATTCTGTTCTTTCAAAATTGAATTAACCTTCAGCCATTTTAAAAAAAGTATTTATAGCTAATACATATTGTTGATAAATGTTGTAAAAACCAATAATCTATACTATGAAATCTACTAAAAATATACGTTAAGTTACAAAGAACCTGAGTGATAAGTTAGTGATTTTTATTCAAATCTTAAGTGCTTTTTGTCTATTTTTGGTGGTTATTCCTCATCAGTGATTTATTATTGATTTTATTGTTTTATCTGGATGTTTGGATGTATTACAAGTTTTTGAGTATTGACTCTCACTAGTGAGTCATATTTTTCTTAACACATTATAGACTTACGAAAAAGTAACATGAACTAAATTTTAACATTATAAAATTAAGCAGATATTCTCTAGATTTAGAGAGCTATTTTTTATCATGTTTCTGTGTCAAGAGGTTACAAGAATCAGATCGTCGACTGTTTTGATCTGCGCAGTACATTAGTTTCTTGAAATTATGTCCTATAATAGACTGACAGTTTTGTGGAGTTTATATAGCAGAAAATAGCAAAGATTAATGAGAAATAATTTTTGCAGAAAACTCCTTCGACAAACCATTAATATTTTCTCCAACTTCTACTGGTTTTAGCTCAAATCTTTTACGATAGATGGCAGTGCGGACATCAAACTTGTAACTTTAGGAAAAATAATTGAAACTCTCTTTTCAAAATGTTTCGTAATCTTTCATTGCATGAAATGCTAATTACAAAATTTTCAAAATGTCAGTCAGATATCAAATTTCAAACGTCAATTAGAGGGCGGAATTAGCTTAAGCAAACAAAAAGATTAGAAAAATGGACTTACAACGCCATCCTATGAAAACTTTTTGAACTAAAACCAGGAATTCATTAAAAAACCTCTTTTCCTCTCACATAAATTGTTGCTTGTGTTTTAACATTAACCATTATTCTGCTATTAATTTTGAAAAATGTCAGCTTATTTTAGGACAAGCTGCAGCACGATACAAATTATTTAACTAAACATTTTTTTAAACGTTTCAATAAAGTACTCAAACATATAATTGCGACAAACGTTTATTTTTAATTAAAATTCATTATAACATGAATTAGCTTCTTTGATTTTTTTTACAAAATGTATCGATAAATATACATTTGGCTCTATATCAAATAAAATCAGTCCTCTTTCTTTACAATCAACTCTTCAGTTACTGAAGTTTATCTGTAAAAGTAAAGTTTTAGAATTAACTTCAGAATATATCACTTACCAAGTCTTTTAATTAAAATATGCTAGCAGTAAACTTACATGGTGTTGTTATATTAATTTGAAATTGAAATATACATGATATTGAATGAGTTTAACACCTTAGCAAAATTGTAACTTCTTTTTAAAAACGTCAAATTGTTTTTATTTGTAAGTAAACAATTTTAAAGAAAAAAATTTAACATGTTCGGAATATTTTGCATTCAAAATAAATTTCTTTTAAAAACATATCAACGAGATGATGGATTTCAATTAACGTTAATGTTTACCCTTAACAGTCTAGAATTTTGAACATAAACTCTAGTTCTTTTCTAACTTTTAATTTTGAATTTTAAATATTCAAATAGCTTTAGCTTAACGCATATAAAAACTATTAAATTCAAGATATTAAAAAACAAGAGAAAAAATCCGAGAATTTATTATATTAGATAAACCTTTTTAATTAGATAAATATTGCTGATACTATTAAAAACTATTTTAGTAAAGAATAGCCTTTTTCAAAATATTTGCAAAAAAGAAAAAAATAACGTAAAATTAAATTTTTGGAGCACTTATCTTCCTTACTATTTATTTTTTCTATAGAATGAGAGATTTTCCGATGATACCAGCTCCGATAATTCCAGATGCTCCAAGAATAGCTCCATTGCCAATAATTCCAGGTGCTCCAAGAATAGCCTCATTGCCAATAATTCCAGATGCTCCAAGAATAGCTCCATTGCCAATAATTCCAGGTGCTCCGAGAATAGCTCCATGTCCAACAATGCCGGGTGCAATAGCTGGGATCATGGGAGATAAAGCTGACACTCCCGATGCAATTGTGGGAATCATAGGTGCAATAGCTGGCACTGAAGGTGCAACTGGAGGAGCATAGGGGCTGTTGATAACAGCAGCTGCTGGGGCACTAAGGGCGGTTCCTGGCTCATTGGTGCTCACAGAAGCTCTGAATCCAGCAGCGTCAGCAACATAGTTGACTTTTCTAGCTCTTCCGTCGACATCAGTGAGAGTGTATGATCCAATTTTGTTCCCAGCAATGTCTCCACTTTCTGACCTGGAGTTGGTGGCTCCAATTCCGTCGGCAATTCCGTAGCTGAATGCATAGTTCCCCAAATCCTAAAAGTATAAAATTACTTTTATGTCACTGAAGTCAGCCTAATGAAATATTTAAAAACCAAATGAATTATTTATATTGTTTTTTATAAGTGTAACTAATGTATCAAATACTTTATAAAGCCAAGAGCTATGTCTAAGAATCTTTTTTTTTCTAGGGTTTCAATCTTAGCGAATTGAAACATTTTAATTTTCTAAGCTTTTAGTTTTTGGTTTGATTGAAAAAATTAATAAAGAAAACTAAAGAAAGGGATTTGTCAAACAGTGTCTTCGTTTACTTAAAATCAAAGTTTATTTTAACATAAGATTAGAAAACGATTTACGACTGTCTCTAATGTAAAACAAAAGTATGAATACCTTTACTTCTTTTTTATAGTAAAATATGACTCATAGTTAGTGCACAACAATATATTTTATATTCCGAAATTTATATATTTGAAACTTAGCTGAATTGACCTTATCTGTTACAGAAATCATTTGCATGAAATATATAGAAAAATTAAAGAAAACTATTTCAAGCTCTCATCACTCGCTGACAAACTGTGCATCGCAGTTGGTGGCCATATATTTTTAATCCATTATTAACGTTCGTAATTTTAAAATTTTCTTACTTTTCCGAACTCAATAAATATTTAAACAATTGAAATTGGAGAAGATGAATAATTGAAATGATTCTGCAATAACAGAAATAGTTAAATATTTTTTTTATATAAAAAGAGCTGTTTAAAAATTTTAAACAAGGAGAAAAGGTTAAAGGCAAATGTTGAATAATAGAAGTGATTAATTAAATGCAATAAAAATAAGTTGTTCTGATAAGGACTGGACTTGAAGCCTACACTACTCCAGAAAGATGGCACCAACTAGTATGAGAAGTTCAGGCAACCGGTACGCAATGATATCTTAATTGAAATGATCATGCCATTGGTTAAGAAATTGCGAAACCTAAACCTCTATAAGCCCATTTAATCGACAATTGGCTATTGCTTAAGGGTTTTATGTTACTTTTAGGAATTAAATAAGGAAAATACTAACATCTTGTTTCCTGATGCTACTGCTTACTCCTGTGTTTATAAGTGGAAGAATACTGGCATTGGCAACTGCAAAAACAGCAACTAACACTGCAATCTGAAATACAAACTAGTATGAGTGCTTGAAAATTGATTATACAATATAAGTTTCTAACGTCAGGTTTAATTCCTTGAAGATTGAATTAATTGATTTTGACGCAACTAGAGTTGAATATAAAGAACAATTATGAAAAAGATAATGGGATAATCACATTTTAACTTAAAACACGTATACAAGGTTTATCCAAAGAGCATCCATGAACAAATTATAATTATTTACAAAAAACTATTCTTGAAATAAACGGAATAAACTAAAAATAACCTGTTTAATAAAATTCAAAAATTCAGCTTAAACTTTGAAATTCCTAAAAATATTTAACATGATGGAATCTTATTTAAATGTCTTAGCAGTTTTAATGCTATATAAAATTCAAAAAAAAAAAATACTAGAATGAGCTAGCTCACATAACTTTGTTTTGAAATAAAATTTCCCACTTAATTATTTTTCACATTTGAGGTTACCTCTTTATACCATTACAACCGGAACTAAATTCGTTAAAATCCGATCATTAAAACGGAAGTAACTTAGTTTTCTCTTCTTTTCCTTTTTTTTTCTTTGTAAATGAGGAATTACTGATACTTGTTCAATATATTTTGTAACTCTATTACGATACCGATTTGCATTAAATTTGTCAATGCACACTTTCATAAACTAAAAATAAATTGGTAATAATTTTTATTGCATGTTTAATGAAAATTAGAAATATTGCACACACTTTCTACAGGTATTCAATCTACAGCTATGCAATATTGTTCAGATGCACTTTTGAGTAAATTTTCCCCTAGTTCTTAAAAATTATTTATTTTTTTTAAACAAAATACTTGCATTTCTTTAAAAAAACATTGCCAAAAGAACATTAAGTTCATGGATAATTTGGGAAATTTCACGAAAATTACTGCAATGTATTGCATTTGTAATTGAAAAAATATGTCTTTGATTTAAAATCTTTTCGTAATGTTTAATAAAGTTTTAAAAATATAAATTTTCGTAAGCAATAAAGCATCATTTAGGTAGTTTCATCTTTCCCTAACTAAGAATACTAAAGAAGAAATGTTTCAATTTTTAATCAGGTTAATATATAAAATTGTAATATAACAAATTGTAATTTAAATCAACTACCTATATCATTATATCATTAAATAACTCAAATTAAAAGTATGTTTCGTATTTCTGCAATTTAAAATTTAGGCTAAACAAAATGCGATAGATTACATTCTAAACTTTTATTTATTAACTAGAAGACTTCTTGTTCATCGTTCTGGCTTAAAACAGTTTTTTCTACGAAAGTTGAAACTTAATGAATAGAAAGTTGAAGCCCCCTGTTCAATGCCGCTCACCAATTCCAATCCTTCACAATAATTGCTTCTTCTTTTCTGTAAGAAATTGCTAATAAAATTCCGTAAAAAAAAATTCCGTAAAATTCCGTAACATAAATTTAACCAAAAAAAAATTTTTTTTCGTAGTTTTTACAGTAACATTTATTTAATTACAGTGATTCGGAGATTAATTACAGTAAATCTTACGCTATAATAATTTTTTTTTGTTCCGTACAATTTTATGGCAAATATGAATTTTGCATGAAAAAAATTACTAGCACACAGTGTGTCTCTATTTTTGTATCGTTATTTTATTCGAAATATTTTACAGCTTTGGCTTAAAACACTTTTTATGTTGAAAGTTAAAACTATTCCCTTACATATGTACGAAAAAGAATTGTGTTAACACTTATACTTCTGTTTTTGACACTTATGCCTCCTATGCCCAAGCATTTCCCATACGATTCTATGTAAGATCTACTATTGAACATAAGTAATTTTTCTCTAGTAATCGATAATGAAGAAAAACTGGATCCTACCACACGATTTTCCAACCTATAAAAAGGTCTACAAAACGATTTTGTAAAATATTTTGAGTATTCTTTACGTTTTAAATTTTCTAATTATAAAATAAACGAAAATAATATTGTCAAATGAATGACGTATTATATCAGAGAAATCTTACCTTAGAGATCATTTTGATGATATATGTGATGCATTCACTGAAAATTTACCGTAAAACACACCTTTTTATAGTTAAAGTAATTTCAAGGACTTGGGATTCCAGTAATGCATCAGATGGGTGGAGTATCCTGAATAATTATATGCCAGAATTTAACAACATCTGAATATTTTAATTTCTATTTTTATCTTATAACTCTAATTTCTCTTAAATATTCATTAATGACGAGTTGTAACTGGTTTTAGCCAGATTTATGCATACTGATAGATAATTAAACAACACCACGTATTTTTATGATTGTGTTTTTAAGGTCATTGTGCTTCTTTTTGAAAAACAAACTCATATAATATGATAAACTTTCAACGTATTTTCAAAAATTAAATCACGAAATCCATTTTTTAAAAATCCAAAATTTTTTAACATCATTTTTTGTACATCACACTGAGAAAAAAATATGGTCAAAACTACCAAAATATGGTAAAATTTATCATGTTTCTGAATTTATGGAGACAACAAATAGCTTACTAGTTTTTACCGAAGCGCTTTGATTATGTTTTTGGTAAAATTATCAAAGAAATATGGTTTTATAATCTGTGATAAAATATGGCAAATTTGATATAATTTGGTAATTTTATCATGATATCTTAGTTTATTGCAAAAAAAAACATTTATTCAGTCAAGTTTACTTTTCAGTTTTGCATTTTTTACTAAATGTGTGGTAATAAGAGCTGTAGTTTCGAAAACTAGTTCATCTAGTAAACCCGTTACCATACGAAAGGAAAAATTTACTAAATGAATGGTTTAAATACCGTATATTTTGGTTTTATAAACCTGAATTATGGATTTTTTTTTACCGAAAAGATCATTTCCGTGCAACACAGTAATTTTACCACAATTCTTTATGCCCCTGTAGTATTGTAGTAAAAGGGTAAAGGGTTTTTTCAAAGAAAAATTATCTTTTTTTTTCTCGACAGTTTGACATACATTATAATTCTTTTAATACCGTCTTAAAAATATAAATAAATTCTACGATTGATAAAGTTAGAAAAAGATACATAACTAGTTTCTATTGATTTAACAAAATATAGCATATTTACTGAAGAAAACATGCATTTTTAGATCTTTAGAATCTTTTTAAATTAACAAATAAAAAAATATTAAAAAAATTAGATTCCGAAATCAACGTGAAGAGAGTTGGTGAATCATTATTGAGTAAAGTAGAAGAAAAGAAACGCTTCACGGGGGAATAGAGGGAAAATTGAAAATATTTATTAGATACACGTTGAAGTTTTGATCAAACATGTCTTGATGATTTTCACCCACTTTCCTTCATAGTGTTTTATCAAGTTTCGATCGCGTTTTTCTTTTTCTTTTTTTAAATATAAATTTGCTGTGTCTAATTAGGATATTTCGTATTAACAATGATTTTAAAAAATATTAATAGTGGGAATTTATGAATATTCTGTGTTTAACGTAGTTATCCCTTTTTAGATCACCTCATCGGTAAGCAGTGTCCTTTTATACAATGACCCAAAATATATGGAAATCCCTTAAAATAAATATCATGAATGTCGTGTTGTTCATTTTGACTCTCAGACAATATGGTATTGTCAATTTTCAAAGAAATGTAGAAAATAATAACAATATTGTTTTTATAGATTATTCCATAATCTATAAAAAAAACTCATCCCTTTGAACACATTGCATCATAAAATAGAAATTAACTCATATTTTAAAATGTGTGTGTCTTTTTCTTTATTGTCTAGCACTTTAATTATAAAATATTTCTCAGTTTAAATATTGTTTTTTTGGATTTTTTACGAGCAAAATTCATGCATTAATCCATGGATTCATGAACATTGACAGCAATTAAATTTTTAAGTAAAAGTCTACTCTTATCACTATATTTTGCTAATTTATTTATTTCTTATAAAGTTCATTTAAAATATGCTTATCGCGGTTTTCTTACAGCACCCTGTACTTAGGCAGATAAGAGCTTACCAAGCGTACATTAAAATTGGAGACAGTAAAAAGAAATTTTTTTTTTTGAAAAAAAAAAGCAATTATAAAACTTACAAAAACTAAACAATTTCAATCCCATATCCAATTGAAACAACCTTCAAAAATATGTAAACTTATTTTTGAATTATTTAACAGATCCGAAAAAACATCAATACCGGAAACTTCATTGTCACTGGATCATATTGCAGGGCGGGGTCAGTAAACAACGATAGTAAAACTAGCACGTGTTTTTCACGTTTCTTAAATTTTTAAAATTTAAAAACATATAAATATGGAAATGTTTTTCGAAAAATTATTACTAGTTAAAGTTTGAAGCTTTTAATTTACAATGATATCTAAGGTAAGCTGCATTTTAAATTACTCATAATAATTAATATTACCAAAAACTCAGTAAAAAGTTTAGTCAATTTTCACCTATGTTTATGAGTATTCTGCTTGATTTATTCTTTTAGCAATTTTTCGATAAAATAAACAAAAATTTTAGCAGAAAATATTTTTAATTCTGCAATTATTCACTGGTATATATAAATTCATGATTAATCTTTATTTAATATGGAATCTAACTATTTAACTATAATTATAGGAATATTTAAATGAAATAATAAAATACGTGTTTATTAATTTGCATTTAAAAATACGTTATATGATAACTTATAATTTAAATGTTTGTTTACTTAACAAATTGAAACTCTCAGTAAAAAAATACAAACTTTTCTTATAAATAACAAACTATTACAAAATTTTCAACTAGTTAATAATTGGTAGCACATCTTGCTTAAAATAAATTAATATTTGTTAACTTCATTTGTAAAAAAGAAATTTAACGAATTCTTTTAAAAATAAGAAAACTTAAAAACTATTTTAAACATTCGTATATTTTGTATACGAATAAATTAGCCAAGAATAATTACATCTTAAATCTAAGTAAATCTAAAACATGGAAAGTAATATAAATTGTTTGAATTTTCCTGTTGCAATGTTTTAAAATTGTATCTAGTATAAAAATTAAAAATTAGGTATTTATTTCATTATTTTTTTGAATAATTATTTGTGATTTGAAATTTATAGCTGAATAAATACTTCATTAATATTTGATTGCTTTTAAGAATTTTTTTTTAGAAAATGTACATTTAGTTCCGAAAATATGTTTCTAAAGAACAAAAATTCTTCTGATTCATTTAATTTGGTGTCTTTTCTTAATTCTAATTGTTATGAATATTTAGAAGCCAATTTGTTAAAATAATTTTCCAAATAAAATTTGCGTTCAAAGTTTCCTTTTGTTCTAAAAATAAACATAATCAAGTGTTTTTTTTTTTAACCGAACGCGCATTAGACCCGAAATTGAACTTATTTAGAGAAAACAATAAATTCTTAAATATACTAAATAATTTAACTACATTCTCTACCCTGTAAATTTGAAATTATTTTTTGATTTGTAAATTGCTGCTGTTACAGCTTCTATCATTGCACCAGCACAATCCTAAATNTTTTTTTTTTTTTTTTAACCGAACACGCATTAGACCCGAAATTCTTAAATATACTAAATAATTTAATTGCATTCTCTACCCTGTAAATTTGAAATTATTTTTTGATTTGTAAATTGCTGCTGTTACAGCTTCTATCATTGCACCAGCACAATCCTAAATTATTAACTTAAACTAAATTAACTTATTTACTTAAACTAAACTGTACTGCCTGGAACACTTCTTATCTTTAAAATACCAAGTTTTTGAATATAAAATATAGAAAATATGCACAGTTTAAACGAAGATTTCACGAAAATAGATTCGAAATTGAATTGATTGCTGTTGAATATTTTAGAAATTGCTAGGTATGATTACTAAAGATTATCTCAGGATGGCTTATATTATTCCGAAAGCATTATTATGAATGTTTTGAAATATATGGTTTTATATTTTTATTTAGATTGCCCTTCTGCTTGCTGCTGTCGCAGCTGCACAAGCTTCTATTATTGCACCAGGACTTTTGTCACCTATTGCAGCCATCCCCACAGCAGTCAAGACTGGCTCCATTGTAGCAATCCCTGGTGCCACCTCAGTCGACAACAGAGTAATTGCATCCAATGGCTTGGTTGGTACCACAGCAGTCAAAACTGGATCAGTTGTATCTCACTTGGCCTCTGGTTTAGTTGGTGCTTCATTGCTCAACTCTGGATTGCTCGGCTCACCCATCATAGGAAATGGATTGATCGGCTCCCCCATCATAGGAAATGGATTGATCGGAGCCCCACTGCTCAACACTGGATTGATTGGAGCATCTGCTTTAGGAAAGGGATTGGTTGGAGCTCCACTGCTCAACACTGGTTTGATTGGTACAATCGGTTCCGGTTCTGTAGTTTCCATTCCTGGTGCCACTTCAGTTGATAGCAGAATGATTGCAACGAATGGTATTCTTGGTATCACCAAAACTGCAAAGACTGGATCAGTCGTCTCCATTCCAGGTGCTACCACAATCGATTCAAGAATTATTGGAACTCCTGGAATTTTGGGATCTCCAATGCTCAATAAAGGTTTGCTAGGTGTTCCAATGATGGGATCTGGATTGATTGGTTCACCCATGGCAATCAGCTCTGGATTAATTGCTCCTGGACTTCTTGGTCTTAAAACAATTATGTAAATTGATTTATGACATATTGGTTAATAGTTTATTTGAATTCTTTACCTTTTAATAAATTGTAAATAAAATATTTCAATTCAATTTCTTTGCGTTTATATTGCTTCGAGCTTATTTTATTTACTTTTCAGAAATATGGCTCCTAAAATTATGAAACATTGAATTTTTGAAAATTATATTTGTGGCATATTCGAGGAACTATAGTATATAATTAATAATAAGAATAATACGAGGAAATATAATTAATTATATTACGTATTTTATTTGGTGTTTTAAATATATAAATTTTGGTGTTTTAAATATATAAAAACAAAATTTTGTATTAAATGTAAAAATAGACTAATCAGGGGTAGCTAAAATGTCAGGGTAACAAACATATGAATAAGAGAAAAGTCTCAAGGAGAGATCAAATGTTTTCATCCTAATTAGAAAAATATGAAATGAAGTGATAAGTAGAAGACGATTGCACTGCCCAAACACTATTCTGTAGGATATGTATGAAACTAAGACCAGTTTTCTGAAACTGATCTGCATTCAATTGTATCAGATAATCCTAATGTCTTCTGTTGTGCTTGTCTCATCATAGCTTGTCTAATGAGAACCTTGCTGGCATTAGCTGCATTGCTTTTATTAGTAATTTCTCGTTACACGTAAAACCTAATATGGCTTTAAAATTTAATCATTGGGGAAAATAATCTTACAATAAACAATTTTTTCGTGTAAAATTTACATAAATAATGTTTAACAATTTCTTTTAAAAGTATTTAAGAGAAATACCACAAAGAAAATGGCTAGTTTGCTCAATTATTTATTCATTAATTTACTTGAACTTGGCAAATATTAAAAAAAATAATATTGACAGAGCTTTTCACTATTTATTATTATTATTTCTTAATTTTTGCATAACGCCTTGAAATTAGGAATATTGCTTGGACCAGTAATCCCTCTAACACATGTTCATAACATTTTCTTTAACATTAAACTACTGCTATGAGTGCGTTACCAATCTATATTTTTTCTTAAATTTTGCAAACATTTTACATAAATTACTCTTAATTGTTCTGAGTTTTGAAACAGTATTTTCGTGATGTCAGGGGGAGATAGTGGTTAGTTTATTCAATTATTTTTTCATCAATTTACATGCATTTGGTAAATATTTTAATAGATACAGCAATAAAAATATAGATTTTAAAATATCACATAAAGTTTTGTGGCTTTCTATTTTTTTTTAAATTTAAGCTTTGCTTAGCGTTTCTAAATTAGCAGCTTTGCTTTTTCAAGATATTCTTCGAACTCATATACCGAACATATTCTTTTTATTTACCAAGGGGAGTAAGCTCCCAATCAATTTTTTGTCGAAATAAATTTTACATAAACTATTTTTGAAATGTTCCTTTTATTTAGAATTTTTAAGCGATAGTGTTTTGATAAGTCACGAAGAAAAAGGTTGTTTGGTTCAATTATTTATTAATTGATTTACAAAATATATTTCCTTTAATTTTAATTACTGGTGCGACTAAGCTCACAATAAAAATTTAGCTGGAATAATTTTGACACTTTTTTTTTAAAAAATATTCTTTTTTCTTAAAAAAAAGGAAGATTTTAATCGATCTTTTGATATCACGAAGAAGTTATTTTGGATGTACAGAAGTAATTTAGTATTTCAGCTGTTGTATTTTAGTATGCTGTTATTCTGTTCAACTATTTATTAATTAACTAACTTGAACTTTTCAAATATATTAATAAAAAATTAAAACAATTTGAAACATTTACGCATATTTTTTATAAATTTTGTAAAGCATTTATAAATTGAAACTGATGTATAACGAGCACAAAAATTTGATATTTGTAATTTAATTGTTGTTGTGTATTCGTTTTCAATTGAGTTTTCACACAAATATTTGATATACCTTTCAGATAATAAATTATAATAAAACACAATGTCACTTAACTTCTTAGATGATATAAAAATTATTCTGGAATCTTGGAAAACAACTTAATCTGGAGAAAGCAAACTAATTTAAAAAATTTGATATTCTGCATCCAATCTTCGTTAAAACGATTCAAGAACCTTTTTTCGAAGTTTTTCGTGTATATTCTCACTGAGTTTCTTTTTACTAGTAAAATTAAGGAAATAATCCTAATTTTGATTAGCATTTTGATCCAGAATTATACATTAGCATGTTTAAAATTGACAATATTTTACGTGCTATTAAAAGTAAAATGTATAATTAGCATTAAACTATTTATTAAATTTTAGGTGCAACTTGGAGATTGAACGGTAAAATTGAGTAAAAATATATTATAGAGCATTATAATGATTTTAAGTGTTCGATTCAATTTTACTATTTAATTATTTAAATGTTTTCAAGATTTATAATAGGTAATAAGTAACTTAATTTAAATAAAAGTAAATGATAAATAAATAAAATAAATAAAATTTCTCTCTGCATTTCAGGCAAATACTTATTTGCTAGTTCTTGACTCTGATATGTGTGATCCTATGAATCCAAATTCTAATCGAAAAATCCTAACACTGATCCTAAAAATTATTTATCTTAAAAATGCGATTTTTCAAGTCATTACAAGTAATTGTATTACATTTTCATCTCCTGATTTTTGATTTTAAGAAACAAGATCTTAAAAATTTTCTTTACTTTTCCTTTTTCTTTCTTTTCGAATTACTGTGGTGCTTTTAAATTTAATAAGCATGCAAAAGTTTTCGAACTTTTTTTGAGGCATTTAGAAATATTTAAATGCAAATTACAGCAATGTAAAGTTTAATAGAATCTTCATTTTTGTAACTTTGAATTATAAAATAAAAATAAGTTAAGCAAAATCGGCTGAATAAATTCCCTACAAATAAAAATTTAAAACTACGATTTTTATGAAGAATTATTACTAATGAACTGTTTGACGAATTTTTTTATAAATCTTTAGTTCTTTTTAATTTAAGTTTAATATCTTGTAAAACTGTGAAAGTTTTACAGAGTTTTACAAGATATTAAACTTAAATTGAAAAGAACTATAATTGAAAATAAATTTAAATGAAGAAAAATGGTAAATAAACAGTGATTTTTTTTTGACGGAATTATTTTTGCATAAGTGAGTGCAAACACTATTTTAATTCACTAAAAAAGCTCTGCACGAGTGATGAAATATTTGAAGTTAAAAGTTGTATATTTGAGTTCAAACTTTTGTCTTCTCTGTTTAACATTTTCCATATTGTGACTGTCAGCTTTATATTGAGAGTTAAAAAATACCAAATCCATGAAAAAGGTATGTTTATTAAGAAAAAAAGAAGAAAGCTTTTGTATCTAATTATTCATAGGTTATTCACTTAATTCACAGGTTGAACAAATTTTAAGTTCTACCTAAAAATGAGTATATATGAAATCTATCTGCTAAACTATTAAGATCGTATATGTTAGTAAAAAAATCTCGATCATTAAATTAAAAGGTATTCATGTGTTTGCAGTTTTATTTTGTGCTTCGTAAATAATTATTTGATCAATTGAAGCAGACACAAGCCCATTTAAATATCTGCATTTTTTGCATAAACTTTAAGGAGTATGATGCAATTTTAAATTAATCTACTAACAAATAAACGTTTTAGATTTGAGCTTGTCTGCTTAGATTAAAAGTGGTAAGAAGAAAAAAAAAATTAACACTTATAAAAGAAATAAATAAAATCTACGCTCATTTTTTTCATAAAGTTTTACAGTCAAAAAGACCTCAAATTTGAGCAAAGTGTGTCAAAATAGCTCCGAAACATATATAGTTGAATAAAAAAAATGTGTATTCATACTTGAAAAATATTGAGCATTTTAAGCGTGTCACCGTACTCAACTACGAATAGATGGGGTTTTCAAATTCGACTTTATTTTCATACATTTTTGCCCAATTTTCTATAACCCTTTTTATAGTAGGTATGAAATTGATTTCTTAAAACATATAGGAAATGCCAAACAAATTCGTAAGTTTTTAAAATTTATTGACAAATTGATTGAAAAATTTTACAGAGAAATAATTTCATAACATTCTGAAAAAAATACTTAGAATAATAGGACAGTAACAAAACTTCTATAAGTTAAACAAGAGAAAATAATTTATGAAACGATAGTATCATAACTGTTTTTACTTAAAAGAAAACTCCCTAAGAATTAGTGAATATGGCCTTGAATTGTTTTTAAAAAAGGGGAATAACATCAACTTATACTAACATATATCTTTACAAAATGGTTTTCACCAATCCTGGAGCGGCAAGAAGACCGGCTCCGTGTAAACCGATTGGAGAAATAAGACCAGGAGAAGCAAGAACTCCGGGAGCAACTAATCCTGAGTTGATAGAAAGAGGACCACCAATCAATCCTTTTCCTAAAACAGGTGCTCCAATCAATCCAGTGTTAATCAGTGGAGCTCCAATCAAACCCTTTCCCATAATGGGTGCGCCGAGCAATCCAGTGTTGAGCAAAGGAGCACCAACTAAACCAGGAGCCAAGTGAGATACAACTGATCCAGTTTTGACTGCTGTGGTACCAACAAGGCCATTGGATGCAATTACTCTGTTGTCGACTGAGGTTGCACCAGGGATTGTTACGATGGAGCCAGTTTTGACTGCTGTGGGGATGACTCCAATAGGTGACAGGAGTCCTGGTGCAATAATAGAAGCTTGTGCAGCTGCAACAGCGGCAAACAGAAGGGCAATCTAAATGAAAATACAAAACAATTTATTTAAAAACATTCATAATAATCCTTTCGGAATAATATAAGCCATTCTCAGATAATCTTTAGTAATCATACCGAGCAATTTCTAAAATATTCAACAACAATCAATTTAATTTCAAATCTATTTCTGTGAAATCTATGCATTTTCTACATTTTATATTCACAAACATGGTATTTTAAAGATTAAAAACGCTTCAGGCAGTAGAGTTTAGTTTAAGTTAATAATACAGTACATATCAAAGCATACGTTTAAGTTTCAATTTCAGCTTTATTTTCTCAATGTAAAATTTAAATTTTTTGAAATTAGTTTTTAAAATTTTTTTAAAATGTTTTTGTTAATCTACAGAGCAACAATTTCCTTTTCAGAAAACAATACTGACATAATAATTTTAAATTTAAAATTAAGAGATACGTCTACTTTTTTTAAAATAAATTTAAAGTCCATAAGAATTTAACTTCTATTGAATTTAAATGTTTCGATAGAGTGGCTAAACATAAAAATTATTTCAATCTCTTATAAATGAAACATTAAAAATTTGTAATTGTATTCACAGTCAAGAATTTTTGATAAAGACTGTCGGAGGAGATATAATTCATATAAAATGAGATAATTGATCAATTTAATTCTGTCTATTGAATTATTCTACCTATACTCTTGGAATACATTTATTTTTTTCACCTATGTTAATATACTCACTCCTCTTCACCATAGCAGTAGAATAGGTAAAGCGGAGGTGAGTATTAAACTTACAGTCATTAGGTAAAATTTCGTTAACTTAAAGGAAGTTAATTCTATGGCTCTAACTAGCCTAATTTAGACTATATTTTTCAAAGATCCAATCTTAAGTGCTTTTTAAAAATATTACTTTAAGCCACTCATAAAATTGAAAACTATAAAGAAATTTAATCAAAACTTAATTGCCTGAAATATTATCTCAATAATGGAAAAAGATATTATACTTGAAATTATGTTTTATTCAAATAGTAAAAAGGCTCGCTTATTTGAAACAATTTTATTAGACATTTTAGACTAATTTAACTATAACCCAAAAAAAATATATGTTTAATACCATGTTTAGTACTATAACTTAACAAAATAAATTATTTAAGTAGGAGTCTTAGCCACCTGCTCACTTCTCTCACATAATCCACGATTTATATCTTTCTTCTAAGTGATAAACAGATTGTACACGGAGAAATTTAATTTCTTTGTAAAATTACGGTACTATATATTAATGATATTTCTGGTAAAAATTCCATAATTCTGTTAATAAGAACCAAAAGATGCGATATTTAAAACATCCATTTTATAATTTTTTCCGTTCATATGATAAATGTTTACCTAAAATTCGGATTTTCAAAACAATTGTTCTTATTAAATCATATTTAATGAAAAATGCGAAACTAGAAGTAAATTTAAGTAAATAATTGATTTTTATGCCATGCTTTAAGGTATTATGATAAAATTACTAAATTTTACCACATTAAAATAATTTTGAAGCTAGATATCGTTTTAAATAAGGTTTTCATTATTGTCGTGTAATAAGGTAATAGCATAGGATTACTTTATGGTAAAATATTACCAATTTTAGATTAAATCCAATAATTAGTCATTAAAATAAAGTAAAAAACGCAAAGCTAGAAAGTTACCGTAGAGAATAATTAAATATACATAATGTATAGTTATATATCTATACATTGTAATAGCATACAATGTACCTAAAGATACACTCAATAAGTTTCGCAATTTCGATTAGAGGAGATACATATTAATGTTTAAGTATGTAAGGGCTTTAAATAATTGAGATTGTGCAATAATGCAGCTAATTTTATGTGAAATTTTTAAAATTTGAAAAATATGCATTGATATTAAAATACCTGAAATGAATAACCTCTGATAAAGTAAAATAACAATAGCTTAAAATAGTGATATTTGAAAGACTTACCTTAGCGATCATTGTGAATTGATGAAGTTAAGGTAAACTATCTGATGCTAACTGTCCACCATATAGTATTTATATAGTTTTGAATCAATGAAAAATATAAAATGCGTGACAATCACGTGTATATGGGCACCGGTTTAGTTAAGGTCACGAATAAGATACACCCTCTTAAGAACGGGGAAAATAGCATTGAAAGAGTAAATTTTTCTTCTTGAATCTTATTAATAACCGTTGTAAACATTAATCGTATTAAATTATTCCTACTAAGAGGCGGGAGAAGTTTGTATTGTTTTTTATTGTTTATTCATAATTTTATTTCTAGATCAACAAGCTCATTAGAAGAATCATTAAATATAACTAAGNATAAGATACACCCTCTTAAGAACGGGGAAAATAGCATTGAAAGAGTAAATTTTTCTTCTTGAATCTTGTTGCATTAAATTATTCATACTAAGAGGTGGGAAAAGTTGATATTGTTTTTTATTGTTTGTTCATAATTTTATTTCTAGATCAACAAGCTCATTAGAAGAATCATTAAATATAACTAAGAGCTTGTTATGAAATTATGTGAAATTAATTCGAATGTTTTTGATAAAATTAAATGGTTTTATTGCAAATAGCTTCAAATATCAACATTCATCGTAAATTTGTATTTAGTACAATCTTCATACTGAAAATAATATAAATTAAGTAACTTAGATATTTTGCCTCTCCTGGAAAATGTTTTTAAATTTATTTTTCAAATTAAATTAAATAATTTTGATTCATTTCAGAAACTGTATTTATAATAGAATTCCAAATCTCTATTGTTTAATAAAGCGGAAGTAGCTATTTATAGTCAGTAAAGTCAAAATACTTATTTTTTATCAGTAAAGCCAAAAGTTTTATAACCATTTATCCAGTTTAAAAGAGGTCTACCGAATTTTTTCACAGTGTTTAACAACCATAAAATATGTCCATCATATACAGTGCTATAAGGAAAGAAACGACACACTCTGAATAACTTTTGATCTAGTTAATATATTTTCACATACTTAGATTCAGTTTTATTTGTTCGAAGAGAGACCTTATTGAGACGTTAAATTTGCTAATCATTTATTGAAGACGGTTTTGTTTAAATTATTATGAATTGCTATGATAATAGCTAATCGAAAATTTACACAACAGGAGTTTTGAAAGTAAATCAAAACTTTTTGGCGGATTCTTGAATTTTGATAAGGAAAATAATAGGTATGATCTCAATCTTTAAAATATTCCGGTAGTTAGGATGGGGGTACTGATACAGGAGTCTCCTTTTTTTCTGGATTGGTTCAAAATTACAAGGATACGGAGTTGAACATTAGTAGTTGTAAACCCAAAATTGGGTCTAATGTTCAACGACGGGAAAAAAATAAAAAAACATTTAGCAGGAGCCGCCATGGCTCAGGGGATAGAGCAGTGGTTACCAACTGGAGATCCGCGGGCCACATACGGCCCGCGAAGCCTCTTCTTGTGGCCCGCAAACTGAAATATATTAGTTATAATTTTTTTTACGGACAATATTCGTAAAAAATCTATATGGGTTTAAAATAGTTCTCCTTCGTTAAAAAAAACTCTAATTTCTTCGTTTCTGAGAAATTTAGCACACCAGCAGTGCAAAAAATTTATTTCTCAGATAAAAATCGACTTCTTATTTTAATTTGTAATTCAATACTTTAGTTTTGTACAGCTTGATAAAATCCTGACAGTAATATTTAATGTTCCTTCAAACATAAAAGAGTCCTATATAAAATTTTGATAAAGTTGCTGCCCGTCATTTGACTTGTGTTTTTAAATGGGACCACCTTCCTCATGCAAGTTGGAAACCCCTGGGCGTTCCCCTTCCAATGAGGTGAACCGGGTTCAAATCCCAGCAATGGTTGGTAGATACGAATTCACCATCCGGCTTGCACCAACCACAGTCCTTACGTGAAATATCTTCAGTGGTACATGGATAATGGGTTAAAATCCTTTTGCCATCTGGATAACCATGGGGGGTTCTCGTGGTCTACCTTTCCATGTATCGCAAATGTGGGTTAGTTCCATCAAGAGTCTTCTACGAAGGCAAATTTCTGCAAATGTTTGATCCAGGAGTTTCCTTGTCTTCTGGATTGGGTTCAAAATTACAAGGCTACGGAGTTTAACGTTAATAGTCGTAAACTCAAAAATTGCGTCGGCTGTTCAGCTACGGACATAAAATAAAATGAAAAACATTTAGCCGGATAATGTTAACCTTATTTTTATTTTTATGCATTTTGTGCTGTACTATTTATCTGAAGGAAAAATTATAAAAATTCATTTATTGGCAATTATAAGCAATTATAAAAGACATTTATAAAAATTCATTTATTGAAAGATAATAACATACTAAAAAATTTCTTGAATTTTTATTTATTACATGTACTATTTAATTTAATTATTGCAAGCATTTAGAATTAAGGTTTATTTGAAAAAAATTCAATGTATTTTAGAACAAGGCATTAATGAAATTTATAATTTGTATAAAATCAGTTACAAAGAAATTTTAAAGCTTAAACATAAAAAGGTGAACTTTAAAATTAAAAAAAGGTTTCAGAAGCTCATATTGCAACTTAAATAATAGTTTGCTCTAAAAAAGTAGCTTTTTTTCAACTTTAATATTTAAAAATTTTTCAGCTTTAAAAATGGTATGTCTGTCTCGTTTTTTATATACTTTTATCTTAACATTATATTAAAAAACAATTTGAATTTTGAATATTAACCTTGAATAAAAATTATTTTTTAGTTTGAGCAAATTTTTAATTTCTTAAATTATGATACTGGAGATATAAAGATTTTTTCTCCAGATATTTTTCGGTTTTTTCATTCTTCTTTTTAATGAAGTTTTGTTCGTGCAGTTAAAGCATTTAATCCTATTGAAGCATTAGGGTATAAAATGATGGACGAAATAAAAGAGAAGAATTCATAACATTATAATTATAAATCCACGCTTTCAAATTGACCAGGAGAGTGTTTTTTAAAAGACATTCTTGCAGTAAAAAGGAATAATTTTCACGTAGGCAATTATATTTTTTAAAAATCGTGCTGTTATAAAAAATTGAGATGAAAATTTGTAAATGTGTACAGTTTTTACTCAGACAGCAATAAAATACTTAGAAGCAGTTCGTTATAAAAGTGTCACATTTTAAAAAAAGTGGATACACTGTAAAAATTTCAGAATAAAGTACCAGTACCTTACGTGCATCATATGTACATTTTACCAAAAATTCCTTTTTTTATGTAATATAATGTACCGTAAGTTTTACAGTAATATTTATTTAATTAGAGTGACTCAGTGATTTTACTCTAATTATTACTGTAAAAATGATGGTATATTAGATTTTTTTTTGTTCCGTAACATATTCCAGTAAAAATAGAGTTTACGATAAAAAGTACTGACATCCTGAGTGCTGGTACAATTTACCATAATTTGAAAGGGAATTTTTTACAGTGTACTACATTTATTGAAAGGCTAACGTCGTTTTTTAAATCAAAATAATAGCTGCTTTGGTCAAATAAATTTTCTAAAGCACTTGTTGTTTAATTATCTTGAAAAGATTTTATTTTAACGAAGATTTGACTTGTTTTGTTCATAATACTTTTAAATACATTTGAGTTTTCAAAAGATAAGAACAGCTTCAATTTACCTCGATTTTACCACCAGATTATTAATTTTTTTTTAAATTCTGATGGCCAACCAAAATGACTTGATTATAATGCAGCTATTAAAAACAAGTAATTTTACAATTCCATTATTGCTATTTAGTGATTTTGTTTACGAGCATTTCTGATGCAATCAAAAGGAAAGTTACATTTCAGGATTATGTTTTTGAGACCAGTAAACATTAATATAGTCATTTCAATGTCAGATATCAATATGGCGGGGTGAAGCAGGGAAATGATCTCGATTGAATCCAGAGAAAATATGTTTGGAACCAGTTCCGGTCGGTTTTACACCAGCCTTTCACTTTTCATGTAAATTAAATTCTACTATTTGGATGTCTTTAACTTTCCGTTATATGTTTTTTTTTGTTCATACATTTGCTTATGGCCTTATTGTTTAAATCAGAGGTTCGCAAACAGCCTTGGCAAAACATTTCCCAGAGCTTATTGAGAAGTTAAGGCAAGATTGAAAATATAAAATGATAATAATAAAATAAGTATAAAATATGTTTCAAAATTAAAAATATTTTTTTTTACAAATGCTTATAGGTTTCACCCCCATAATAGCCCTGATTTCATAGATTAGATTCCTGATTCTATAAAGATAAAATTTTATTCTAATCTGTTATCTTCGCAATTTTATCCACAGACATTTTTTAAAAAATTCTTTGTTATTATTAGGCCAGTATAAAATTAATTTGCTGTTTTTGGTTAAAAATATTATTGAGAAATAGTGCAAAAAGTTAAGTTCCTTGCAATTTATAACAAATATTTCATAAAAGTTGAGTCAGTAGGTGAAGACATTTTATAGGGCTTGCAACATTTATGTATCAGGAGTAAATAAATACGTTTATAAATTTTTCAAACATTTCAAATATTAATTTCTCCTGGAATATTAAAACTATGCCTCATGAAAAGATAAAAATATAGAGAAAACATGGAAAATAATAAAGATTAATGAGAAGAGAAGAAGAAAAATTAAGAAAAAAATACTTAAAAAAATATTGAAAAGACAGAAATCAAAATATCAATTATTTTAATTTGTTTAAAGACTTTTTAATATTTTTTTAAATAAAATTTCTCTTTTTTAAATATTTTTAAAAATATTTTATTTTAGCAATTTTTCTTCTTTGCTTTTCATTAATCGTTATTATATTCCATGTTTTCTATATATTTCAAAAGTATTTTATGCATTTCATTTCCTTGCAGCTAACGCGCAGTAAATAAAATTTATTAATTTTCTTTGTTTCTCTCTCTTTACTTTTTATCCTTTTAATCTTTATTGTGCTATATATATATATATACACTCTAAAACAAAAAAATCGACGCACCAAAAAGCAATCATCCGATTATTTGAAATTTCGTATGCATGAATGTTTTGAACAGATATGGCTGGAATGATGCCAACTGGAGACGTATAGTCTTTAGCGACGAATCCCGCTTCCAACTGTGTCCTGACGATCATCGAAGACGTATTTGGAGACGCACAGGGCAGAGGGGGATCCTGCCTTCACTATTGCACGCCACACCGGCCCTCGACAAGGCAATGGTCTGGAGTGCCATTTCCTTTGACAGCCGGACCCCATTGGTAGGCATTAGAGGTACACTTACTGCACAGTGGTAAGTCGACGACATCCTAAGACCTGTTTTGCTACCGTTCCTTTTGCAGCGCCCTGAGCTGGTTTTTCAGTAGGACAATGTCAGACCACATACGGCCCGTGTTGCAATGAACTGTCTGCAAGCTTGCCAAACTCTTCATTGACCTGCCAGATCACCAGATCTCTCTCCCATCGAGCATGTCTTGGATATCATGGGAAGGCGATTGCATCTGGCACGAAAAGTTGATGACCTCGTTCGACAATTGGATCGAATTTGGCAGGAAATACCGCAAGAGACCATTCAGGAGCTTTATCTGTCTATGCCACGCCGTGTGGCAGCTTGTATCCAGGCTAAAGGGGTGTCAACACCTTATTGAATTTGTTACTGAAACTCTCTCTCTCTCTCTCTCTCTCTCTCTCTCTCTCTCTATCTCTGTCACACACTGTTACGTTACAGTCTAATNATGCTCTCTAATATTGAACCAATATAGCTTAAGTAAAATTTATATCAATAAAATAGTGTGAGGAGCATTAAAAAATTGAAACAAAAATAGAACACATTAAGTAAATAACTTATACGAAATAAAACATATCAGCCACAAAAAAAAAAAACAGAAAATAAAATGTAAAGAAAATGCAGAACAAAATACAAAACGAATTCTTTAAAGCGAGTAGCAAATTCAAATGAGCTTACACATACCGGAATCTTTCAAGAATGATTTAAAAAAGTTTTGTCACAAAATTGTCAGATTAAAAAATATGAAAACAGAAGCGCAAATAGAGTTAGAAAAGTAAATCGAGTGATCTTTTGTCACGCGTTCTTACTGCAGTACTTAAGCGCGTTTGATTTGTTAGTTACCATGGATTAGCGCTAAGTAATAATATTATACTGAATACTTTATAGTTTATTATTAATAAGGATGATATTTAATTATACAATTTTAATGATATAAAAAATTAACACTTATTTTACAAAGAGGGACATGCTTTGCTACTTTGCACAGTTTACTGTTTAAATCCTTAAAAATATACTCAAAGAACAACGTCCCAAACACACAAAATAAGAAAAACGAAGAAAATTAATTATTAAAATTATATAATAAAATTAGATAAACGAAGAAAACAAACATAAAAAGCTTTAATTAATTTTTTATGCAAATCTTTTTCTGTAAATCCTTTCCTTAATTTATTATTCAAAACGAAACACTTTTTCTCACACTTTAAAATTCACATCCTGTCTATTAATCTATTATTGCAAGTCTTACAAATGAAAATTAATTAAAATAAGGAAAATGGAAAATAATTGTGAACATTGATTTTTTTGAGGGAACTATCTTTGGATAAGCGACTGCAGAGATTATTTTAATTCATGAAAAATCTTTAGACGAGTGAAGAAATATTAGAATTGAAAAGTTGTATATTTGAGTTCAAACTTTTGACTTTCCAAGATTTTTTGGATTGTAGCTGTCAGCCATATATTCAAAGTAAAAAAATACCAAATCAATACAAAAGGTTTTTATTATTTAAAAAAAAAGAACAAGAAAGCTTTTGTATCTGATTATTCATCGGTTATTTACTTAATTCATAGGTTGCACATATTTAAAGTTCTATCTAAAAATAAGTATATATAAAATCTATCTGTTAAACTATTATGATCGTATATGTTAGTATTAAACCGTATATGTTAGTTAAGATTGTATATGTTGCTATCTCAATCATTAAATTAAAAGCTATTCTTGAGTTGGCATTTTTATTTCGTGTTTCGTAAATAATTATTTGATCAATTGAAATAGTTGCAAACCAATTTAAATATCTGCATTCTTTGCAAACTTCAAAGAGTATGATGCAATTTTAAATTAATCTACTAAGAAATAAACGTTTTACATTTAAACTTGTCTGTTTAGAGTGAAAGTGGTGAGAAGTGAATAAAATTATCAATCATAAAAGAAATTTTAAAAAATTCGACGTTGAATTTCTCGTAAAGTTTCACTGTCAAAAAGAGCTCAAAATTAAGAAAAATAGTTCCGAAACATATACAGTTGAATATAAAAAAGGGGAATTCATAATTAAGAAATATTGAGCATTTTAAGAATGTCACCATACTCAACTACGAATGGATGGGATTTTCAAATGCAACTATATTGTGATTTCAAAAAATCCGCCAAACAAACTCGTAACATTTAAACATTTATTGACAAATTGAATGAAGAAATTTTACAGAGAAATAATTTAATTACATTCAGCAAAAAAAAAGCTCAGAAGAATAGGACAGTAAGAAAACATCTATAAGTTAAACAAGAGAAGTAATTTATGAAATGATAGTATCATAATTGTTTTTACTTGAAAGAAAATTCCCTAAGAGTTTGTGGACATGGCATAAAATGATTTTAAAAAACTGGGAATAATATCAACTTATAATATCACATATCTTTATAAAATGGTTTTCACTAATCCTGGAGCTGCTAGAAGACCGGCGCCGTGTAAACCGATTGGAGAAATAAGACCAGGAGCAGCAAGAACTCCGGGAGCAACTAATCCTGAGTTGATAGCAAGAGGACCACCAACCAGTCCTTTTCCTAAAAGAGGTGCTCCAATCAATCCAGTGTTAAGCAGTGGAGCTCCAATCAAACCTTTTCCCATAATGGGTGCGCCGAGCAATCCAGTGTTGAACAATGGAGTACCAACTAAACCAGGGGCCAAGTGAGATACAACTGATCCAGTTTTAACTGCTGTGGTACCAACCAAGCCATTGGATGCAATTACTCTGTTGTCGACTGAGGTTGCACCAGGGATTGTTACTATGGAGCCAGTCTTGACTGCTGTGGGGATGACTCCAATAGGTGACAGGAGTCCTGGTGCAATAATAGAAGCTTGCGCAGCTGCAACAGCAGCAAGCAAAAGGGCAATCTAAATAAAAATATAAAACAATATATTTCAAAACAGTCATAAAAATGCTTTCGGAATAATATAATCAATTCTGAGATAATCTTTAGTGCTACAATATCGAGTAATTTCTAAAATATTCAACAGCAGTCAATTTAATTTCGAATCTATTTTTGTAAAATCTTCTAAATTATTGTGAAATTAAATAAACTTTGACTTTTTTTTAATAAGTACATATTGTGAAATGTTCATATTTTAAAATTTTAATAGTTGTAAGTAATTTAAATTTAATAGTGTACTTTTTTAATAATTTTGAGCTAGATATCATCTTAAATACGCTTTTCATTGTCCTCGTGTAATAAGGAAATAGCATAGGATTACTTTATAATAAAATAACACCAATTTTACATTAAAGTTTGAGTTTATTACTAATAATTTTTTTTAACTTTATATAGTTATTTAACATTCAATATTTTTCTGCATTTGTTGTCTGATTACAGTTTTACGTAAAATTTATTCTGAAATTAAGTTAACTTTAACTCTTGTTTAATAAATGCATATTCTTAAATTTTCATATTGTAAAATGTTAATACTTGTAAATTATTTAAATTTAATAACGTAAAGTTTTTATAATTCTGAAGCTATATATCATTTTAAATATGTTTTTCATTATTGTCGTGTAATAATTTAATAATATAAGATTACATTATAATAAAAATGCCAATTTTATATTAAAGCCAATAACTAGTAATCAAAATAAAAAAAGCTTAATAATAGCAGAGAATATACCCAAAAAAGGACGCTTAATAAACATTACAGGTGAATATAACGAAATAAAAGATTAAGAAATGTTTAGCAACTAAACAATACTTTTATAACTTTAATCTATCTGATAAACGAACTATGACAACCTATGAAACCCGTATCTTTTTTCTTCTCTTTCGTAAAACTAGAAAGTTACCATAGAGAATAATTAAATATACATAATGTATAGTTATATTTATATGTTGTGATAGCATACAATATAAGTAAAGAAACACTCAATAAGTTTCAAAATTTCGATTAGAGGAGATGGTTATTAATTTTGAAGTATGTAAGGGCTTTAAATAATTAAAATTTTTCAATAATGCAGCTAATTCTATGTGAAATTTTTAAAATTTGTGAAATATGCATTGATATTAAAATACCTGAAATGAATAACCTCTGATAAAGTAAAATAACAATAGTTTAAAATAGTGATATTTGAAAGACTTACCTTAGCGATCATTGTGAATTGATGAAGTTAAGGTAACTATCTGATGCTAACTTCACACCATATAGTATTTATATAGTTTTGAATCACTGAAAAATTTAAAATGCGTGACAATCACGTGTATATTGGCACCGGTTTAGTTAAGGTCACGAATGAGATACACCCTCTTAAGAGCGGGGAAAATAGCATTGAAGGAGTAAATTTTTCTTCTTGAATCTTGTTAGTTACCGTTGTAAGCATAAATCTCAATAAATTATTCATACTAAATGGTGGTAGAAGTTGATATTGTTTTTTATTGTTTATTCATAATTTTATTTTTAGATCAACAAGTTCATTAGAAGAATCATTAAATATAACTAAGAGTTTGTTGTGAAATTATGTGAAATTAATTCGAATGTTTTTGATAAAATTAAATAGGTTTACTGCAAATATAGCTTCAAATGTTAACATTCATCGTAAATCTGTATTTAGTACAATCTTCATGCTAAAAATAATATAAATTATGTAACTTAGATATTTTACCTCTCCTGGAAAAATTTTTTAAATTTTTTTCGAATTAAAATAAATAAATTTGTTTCATTTCACAAACTGTATTTATAATAAATTTCAAATCTCTATCCAGTCACGTTTTACGTTTATTAAAGCATAAATAGTTATTTTTATTCAGTAAAGTCAAAATACTTATTTTTGATCAGTAAAGCCAAAAGTTTTATAATGCATTCATCCAGTTTAAAAGAGTTGTACCGAATTTTTTCACAGTGTTTAGCAGCCATAAAATATGTCCATCATATACAGTGCTATAAGGAAAGAAACGACACACTCTGAATAACTTTTGATCTAGCTAATTTATTTCCACATATATTAAGATTCAATTTTATTTGCTTAAAGAGAGACTTTATTGAAACGCTAAATTTGCTAATCATTTAGTGAAGACGGTATTGTCTAAATTATTATGAATTGATAGGATAACAGCTAATCAAAAATTTACACAACAGGTGTTTTGAATGTAAACCTAAACTTTTTGGCGGATTCTTGAATATTGATATTCAAAATAATAGGGGTGATCTCAATCTTTAAAATATTCCGGTAGTTAGGATGGGGTAAGGAGTTTCCTTGTTTTCTATATTGGTTCAAAATTACAAGGCTACGGAGTTGAACATTAGTAGTTGTAAACCCAAAATTGAGTTGAGTGTTCAACGACAGGAGAAAAATAAAAAAAAACATTTAGCAGGAGCCGCCATGGCTCAGGGGATAGAGCAGTGGTTACCAACTGGAGATCCGCGGGCAACATCCGTCCCGCGAAGCCTCTTCTTGTGGCCCCCGAACTGAAATATATTAGTTATAATTTTTTTACGGACAATATTCGTAAAAAATCTATATGGGTTTAAAATAGTTCTCCTTCGTTAAAAAAACTCTAATTTCTTCGTTTCTGCGAAATTTAGCATACCAGCGGTGCAAAAAATTTATTTCTCAGATAAAAATCGACTTCTTATTTTAATTTGTAATTCAATACTTTTGTTTTGTACAGCTTGATAAAAGCCTGACAGTAATATTTAAGGTTCCTTCAAACATAAAAGAGTCCTATATAAAATTTTGATAAAGTTGCGGCCAGTCATTTCACTTGTGTTTGTAAAAGGGGCCACCGGCCTCATGCAAGTTGGAAACCCCTGGGCTAGAGCGTTCCCCTTCCAATGAGGTGAACCGGGTTCAAATCCCAGCAATGGTTGGTAGATACGAATTCACCATCCGGCTTGCACCAACCACCGTCCTGACGTGAAATATCTTCAGTGGTACATGGATAATGGGTTAAAATACTCTTGCCATCTGGCTAACCATGGGGGTTTCTGGTGGTCTTCCTCTCCATGTATCGCAAATGTGGGTTAGTTCTATCAAGAGTCTTCCACGAAGACAAATTTCTGCAAAAGTTTGATCCAGGAGTTTCCTTGTCTTCTGGATTGGGTTCAAAATTACAAGGCTACGGAGTTTAACGTTAATAGTCGTAAAGCAATAAAATACTTAGAAACAGTTCGTTATGAAAGTGTAAAGTACCGGTACCTTACGTGCATCATATGTACATTTCACCAAAAATTCCATTTTTACTGTAATATATTGTACCGTAAGTTTTACAGTAATATTTATTTAATTAGAGTGACTCAGTGATTTTACTGTAATTATTACTGTAAAAGGTATGATATATTGGATTTTTTTTGTTCCGTTACATATTCCGGTAAAAATAGAGTTTACGGTAAAAAGTACAGACATCCTGAGTGCGATTACCATAATTTGAAACGGAATTTTCTACAGTGTACTATATTTATTGAAAAGCTAAGGTCATTTTTTAAATCAAAATTCTAACTGCTTTGGTCAAATAAATTTTCTAAAACACCTTTTGTCTAATTATCTTGAAAAGATTTTATATTAACAAAAATTTGACTTGTTTTGTTCATAATGCCTTTAAATACATTTGATTTTTTCAAAAGAAAAGAACAGCTTCAATTTACCTCGATTTTACGTCCAGATTAGAATTTTTTTTTTTTTTTAGTTTCTGAAGGTCAACTAAAATGACTTGATCATAAAGCATACATTAAAAACTCAAGTAATTTTACAATTCCATTATTGCTATTTAGTGATTTTGTGTGCGAGCATTTCTGATGCAATCATAAGGAAAGTTACAGTCCACGATTATGTTTTTGGGATCAGTAAGCATCAATATAGACATTTCAGAGTCAAATATCAAGCTGGCGGATGGAGCAGGGAAATGATCTTGATTGAATCTGATAGAAATATATTTGGAACTAGTTCCGGTCGGTTTTATACCAGACTTTCACTTTTCATGTAAATTAAAAATCTTCTATTTGGATGCCTTAAACCTTCCGTTATATGTTTTTGGTTTTTTTGTATAAAAATTTGCTTATGGCCTTATTGATTAAATCAGAGGTTCATAAACAGCCCTCAGCAAAACATTTCCCAAAGCTTATTGAAAAGTTAAGGCGCAATTGAAATTAAAAAATAATTGTAATAAAATAAGTATAAAATATGTTTTAAAATTTAAAATATTTTTTTTACAAATGTTTATAGGTTTCACCCCCATAATCGCCCTGATTTCTCAGATTAGGTTCCTGATTCTATAAAGATAACATTTTATTCTAATCTGTTATCTTTACAATTTTATCCACACACATTTTTTAAAAAATGCTTTGTTATTATTAGGCCAGTATAAAATTAATTTGCTGTTTTTCGTTGAAAATATTATTGAGAAATAGTGCAAAAAGTTAAGTTCTTTGCAATTTATAACAAATATTTCATAAGAATTAAGTTAGTAGGTGAAGACATTTTATAGGGCTTGCAACATTTATGTTTCAAGAGTAAATAAATACGTTTATAAATTTTTCAAACATTTCAAATATTAATTTCTCCTGGAATATAAAAACTATGCCTCATGGAAAGATAAAAATATAGAGAAAACATGGAAAATAATAAAGATTAATGAAAAGAGAAGAAGAAAAATTTAAAAAAAAATACTTAAATAAATATTGAAAAGACAGAGATCAAAATATCAATTATTTTAATTTGTTTCCAGACTTTTTAATATTCTATGGAATATTGAAACTGTGCCTTCTGAAAAGGTAAAAATATAGAGAAAACATGGAAAAAAATAAAGAGTAATGAAAAGAGAAGAAGAAAAATTGAAAAAAAAAATTAAAAAAAAAATATTGAAAAGCCAGAAAACTAAATATTATTTTGTTTTCCGACTTTTTAATATTTTTTTAAAAATTAAATTTCTCTTTTTTAAATATTTTTAAAAATATTTCATTTTAACAATTTTTCTTCTTCGCTTTTCGCTAATCTTTATTATTTTCCATGTTTTCTATATATTTTAAACGTATTTTTTGTGTTTCATGTACTTGCAGCTGACGCGCAGTAAATGAAATTTATTAATAATATTAATTTTCTTTGTTTTTTTTCTCCTCTCTTTTTATCCTTTTAATCTTTATTAATATATATATANTGAGAAATATTGAGCATTTTGAGCATGTCACCATTCTCAACTACGAACAGATGCACTGCTAAAATTTTTATTCTAAAATTATGGTAAAATAACTGGCAGCTGTCTATCCATTCGATTAACAATGAAGTTAACGATAAGGAACAGTTTTTTCCCTTATGGTTTTGAAACCAGTTACAAAAAGTATGGTTAAAAAAACCATGAATACAAAACTATGCGGCTTTTTTACCATTTACAACTAGCATTTTTCAAAAACAAACTAGACAAAGCTCGGCTGTGTTGACGGGGATGGGTGAAATATTGTGGTGTCTACACTGGGACTCCATTTCTACTGGTCATGAGTTTGACAGATAAGCCCGTTCGGCTATGATATGTACGAATTTGCAAAGAACTAAGTAGCTTCATAAGGTTGCTCTAATTGGTGCGATAAAATTCTGGTTGTTTAACCGTATTAGGTGAAAACAGTTAATAAACAGTTTTTCTCAAACTTAGCAGTCTAATTACCATTTTATTTATGGTTATTTGACTGTTTTAATTAAATATGGTAAAATAACCATTCTATAAATTGTTATTTAACCATTTTTTCCGAGAAATTTCTAACAGTGTGGGGTTTTCAAATTCGACTGTATTTTGATTCCAAAAAATTCGCCAAACAAATTGGTTACATTTAAACATTTATTAACAAATTGATTGAAGAAATTTCACAGAGAAATAATTTAATTACATTCAGGAAAAAATACTCAGAATAATTGGACAGTAAGAAAACATCTATAAGTTAAACAAGAGAAAGTAATTTATGAAATGATAGTATCATATCTGCTTCTACTTAAAAGAAAATTCCTCAAGAGTTTGTGGACATTGTATAGAATGATTTAAAAAAAATGGGAATAACATCAACTTATAATTACACATAAATTTATAAAATGGTTTTCACCAATCCTGGAGCGGCAAGAAGACCGGCTCCGTGTAAACCGATTGGAGAAATAAGACCAGGAGCAGCAAGAACTCCAGGAGCAACTAATCCTGAGTTGATAGCAAGAGGACCACCAACCAGTCCTTTTCCTAAAAGAGGTGCTCCAATCAATCCAGTGTTAAGCAGTGGAGCTCCAATCAAACCCTTTCCCATAATGGGTGCGCCGAGCAATCCAGCGTTGAGCAAAGGAGCACCAACTAAACCAGAGGCCAAGTGAGATACTACTGATCCAGTTTTTACTGCTGTGGTACCAACCAAGCCATTGGATACAATTACTCTATTGTCGACTGAGGTTGCACCAGGGATTGTTACTATGGAGCCAGTCTTGACTGCTGTGGGAATGGCTGCAATAGGTGACAGGAGTCCTGGTGCAATAATAGAAGCTTGTGCAGCTGCAACAGCAGCAAATAAAAGGGCAATCTAAATAAAAATATAAAACAATATTTTTCAAAACATTTATAATAATGCTTTCGGTATAATATAAACTATTCTGAGATATTTTTTAGTGCTACATCTTCTAAATTATTATGAAATTAAATAAACTATGACTTTTGTTTAATAATTGCATGTTGTGAAATGTTCATATTTTAAAATTTTAATAGTTGTTAGTAATTTAAATTTAATAGTGCACTTTTTTAATGATTTTGAGCTAGATATCATCTTAAATATGCTTTTCATTGTTGTCGTGTAATAAAGTAATAGCATAGGATTACTTTAAAATAAAATAATACCAATTTTACATTAAAGTTTGAGTTTATTACTTGTAATTTTTTATAATTTTAAATAGTTGTTTAGCATTCAATATTTTTTGAATGTGTTGTCTGGTTACAGTTTTAAGTAAAATTTTTATGAAATTAAGTTAACTTTAACTCTTGCTTAGTAAATGCATATTGTTAAATTTTTATATTGTAAAATGTTATATACTTGTAAATAATTTAGATTTAATAACGTAACGTTTTAATAATTTTGAGGTTAGATATCATTTTAAATATGTTTTTCATTGTTGTCGTGTAAAAAAGCAATAATATAGGATTGCTTTATAATAAAATATTACCAATTTTATATTAAAGCCAAAAACTAGCAACAGAAATTAAAAAAAACGTAATAATAGCAGAGAATATGCCCAAGAAAGGACGTTCAATAAATATTACAGGTGAATATAGTGAAATGAAGGATTACGAAATATTTAGCAACTAAACAATACTTTTATAACTCTAATCTATCTGATAAACAAACTATGACAACCTATGAAACCCGAACCTTTTTTTCACCTTTTGCAAAACTGGAAAGTTACCCTAGAGAATAATTAAATATGCATAATGCATAGTTATCTATTTATATATTGTGATAGCATACAATGTACCTGAAGAAACACTCAATAAGTTTCAAAATTTCGAATAGAGGAGATGCATATTAATGTTTAAGTATGTAATGGCTTTAAATAATTGAGATTGTGCAATAATGCAGCTAATTCTATGTGAAATTTTTAAAATTTGAGAAGCATGCATTGATATTGAAATATCAGAAATGAATAACCTCTGATAAAGTAAAATAACAATAATTTAAAATTGAGATATTTGAAAAACGTACCTTAGCGATCATCATGAATTGATAAAGTTAAGGTAACTATCTGATGCTAACTGCACACCATATAGTATTTATATAGTTTTGAATCACTGAAAAATATAAAATGCAAGACAATCACGTGTGGTACCGGTTTAGGTAAGGTCACGATTAAGCAGCATAAAACTGAAATCGCATTAAAAGAGAAATTTTTTCTTTTTGAATCTTGCTAATCACCGTTATAAATTTTAATCGCTTTAAATTATTTATACTAAAAAGTGGGAGAAGTTGATATTGTTTTTTATTGTTTGTTCGTAATTTTATTTCTAGATAAACCAGTTTATTAGAAGAATAATTAAAATTATTAACTAAGCATTAGTTGAAGTTGATGAAATTAATTCGAATGTTCTTGATAAAAGTAATTTGTTTCGCTGCAAGTAACTAAAATATTAACATTTATTGTAAATCTGTATTAATCCTCACTCTAAAAATTGTATAAATTAAGTAACTTAGATATTTTACCTCTCCTGGAAAATGTTTTTAAATTTTTTTCGAATTAAAATAAATAATTTTGTTTCATTTCACAAACTGTATTTTTAATAAAATTCCAAATCTCTATCCAGTCACGTTTTACGTTCATTAATGTATAAATAGTTATTTATATTCAGTAAAGTCAAAATACTTATTTTTGATTATTTTGATTGAGTAAAGTCAAAAGTTTTATAATGCATTTATCCAGTTAAAAGAGTTGTACCGACTTTTAGCACAATGTTTAAAAGTCATAAAATATGTCCATCATATAGAGTGCTTAAAGGAAAGAAAAAGACACACCCTGAAAAACTTTTGATCTTGTGATTACATCTCAACATACTTAGATTCAGTTTTATTTGTTTAAAGAGAGACCTTATTGAGACGATAAATTTGCTAATCATTTAGTGAAGACGGTATTGTTTAAATTATTATGAATTGATATGAAACTAGCTAATCGAAAATTTACACAACAGGGGTTTTGAAAGTAAAACTAAACTTTTTGGCGGATTCTTGAATATTGATTGGCAAAATAATAGCGGTAATCTCAATCTCTTAAATATTTCGATAGTTAGGATAGTTTACCATGTTCAAACACTTAACAGTGTTCAACGATGGTTATAAAAAATAAATTTAAAAAAACCCCATTTAGCCGGAACTGTGATGGTTCAGGGCATAGAGCGTTCCCGTTCCAATGATGTGAATCCGGTTGGAATCCCAGCGATGGTTGATCGATATGAGTTCCATATCCGGCTTGCACAGCCCACAGTGCTGACATGAAATATCCTCAGTGGTAGAGAGATCATAAGTTAGAGTCCTCTTGCTATCAGGCTAACCGTGGGAGGTTCTCGTAGTCGTCCTCCCCATGTCACACAAATGCGGGTTAGTTTCATCAAGAGTCTTCCATTATGGCAAATTTCTCCAAATGCCTGATACAGGAGTTTCCTTGTCTTCCGGATAGGGTTTAAAATTACATGGCTACGGAGCTGAACGTTAATAGTCGTAAACCCAAAAATTAGGTCGGCTATTCAAGGACGGATATAAAATAAAATAAAAAACATTTAGCCGGATAATGTTAACCTTACTTTTTTTACTTTTATGCATGTTGTGCTGTACTATTTATCTGAAAGAAATTTTTTTTAAAGACAATTATAAAAATTCATTTATTGGAAGATAATAACATACTAAAAAATTTCTTCAATATTTATTTATTACATTTAGCATTTAATTTAATTATTACCGGCATTTTTGAATTAAGGTTTATTAAAAGAATTCAATGTATTTTTGAACAAGGTATTAATGAAATTTATCATTTGTATAAAATGAGTTACCGAGAAATTTTAAAGCTCAAGCACAAAAAGGTAAACTTTTAAATTTTAAAAAAGGTTTTAGTTTCTTATATTGTATCTTAAATAATCGTTTGCTCTGAAAAAGTAGCGTTTTTTCAACTTTGATATTTAAAAATATTTCAGCTTTAGAAATGGTATGTCTGTCTCGTTTTTTTATATACTTTTTTCTTAACATTATAGTGAAAAACAATTTGAATTTTGAATATTAGCCTAGAATTTAAAATATTTTTTGGTATGATACAGGAGACATAAAATTTTTTTCCAGATATTTTTCGTTTTTTTTTTGTTCTTTTTTTATGAAGTTTTATTTGTGCAGTTACAAATCATTTAATCTTATTGAAAAGGTAAGGTATAAAATGATAGACGAAATAAAAGAGAAAAAATTTACAACATTATAATTATAAATAAACGTTTTCAAATTGTCCAGGAGAGTGTTTCTTAAAGAAGCATTATTGCAGTAAAAAGAATAATTTTCAAGCAGGCAATTAAATGTTCTCAAAAATCGTGCTGTTAACAAAAATCTAGAAGAAATTTTGTAAATGTGTATAATTTTTTCTCGGAGAACAAAAAAATACTTGGAAACAGTTCGTTATAAAAATGTCACATTTAAAAAAAAAGTGGCTATACTGTAAAAATTCCGACCAAATTTCAGCATGAAGTGCCGGCACCTTACGTGCATCATACTTACATTTTATCAAAAATTCTATTTTTACTGTAATATATTGTACCTTAAGTTTTACAGTAATATTTATTTAAATAGAGTGACTCAGTGATTTTACTGTAATTATTACTGTAAAAATGATGGTATATAAAATTTTTTTTGCTCCGTAACATATTCCAGTAAAAATAGAGTTTACGGTAAAAAGTACTGACATCCTGAGGGCGGGTACATTTTACCGTAATTTGAAACGGACTTTTTTACGTTCAGAACATTTATTGAAAAGTTGACGTAATTTTTTAGATCGAAATACTAACTGCTTTGGTCAAATAAATTTTCTAAAACACTTGCTGGCTAATTATCTTGAAAAGGCTTTAGGGTAACAAAAATTTGACTTGTTTTGTTCATAATGCCTTTAAATATATTTGATTTTCTTCAAAAGATAAGAACAACCTCAATTTACCTCTATTTCACTTCCAGATAAAAAAAAAAATTTTTTTTAGTTTCTGAAGGTCAACCAAAATGACTTGATTATAATGCAGCTATTAAAAACTCAAGCAATTTTACAATTCCATTATTGCTATTTAGTGATTTTGTTTACGAGCATTTCTGATGCAATCATAAGAGAAGTTACAGTTCACGATTATGTTTTTGAGACCAGTAAACAGCAATATTGACATTTCAATGTCAAATACCAATATGGCGGGGTGGAGCAGGGAAATGATCTCGATTGAATCCGGAGAAAATATGTTTGGAACCAGTTGCGGTCGGTTTTACACCAGACTTTCACTTTTCATGTAAAATAAAAATCTACTATTTGGATGTCTTTAACCTTCCGTTACATGTTTTTTTGTTTTCGTTTTTTTTTGTTTATAAATTTGCTTACTGCCTTATTGTTTAAATCAGAGGTTCGCAAACTGCCCTCGGCAAAACATTTCCCAGAGCTTATTGAAAAGTTAGGACGTGATTAAAGTTGAAAAATAATAATAAACAAATAAGTATAAATTATGTTTTAAAATTTAAAATATTTTTTTTTACAAATGCTTATAGGTTTCACCCCCATAATCGCCCTGATTTCAGAGATTTGATTCCTGATTATATTAGGATAAAATTTTATTTTAATTGGTTATCTTTGCAATTTTATCCCCAGACAATTTTTTAAAAAATTCTTTGTTGTTATTAGGCCCATATAAAAATACTTTGCTGATTTTCGCTAAAAATATTATTGTGAAATAGTGCAAAATGTTGAGTTCTTTGCAATTTATAACAAATACATTATAAAAGTTAAGTCAAATCTTATCACTGTGTTCAGTTCTATAAGCAATTTTTTCACTTATAAAAATTGTGGAACAGCAATTTTACAATAATTTTACAATAATCTATCATATAGTTTCTATCATATGATTTCAACCATATCAGATTTTGTTCTAAAATATTTGTTCTCTAAGAAATATGTTGACAACATTATTTGTTTATTCAACGGCTAAAGACACATTCTTGAAATATTTCAAGATGCTAAAGGAAGAAGGTGAAGACTTTTTATAGTGTTTGCAACATTTCTGTTTCAAGAGTAAATAAAAATGTTTATCAATTTTCCAAAGATTCCAAATATTACTTTTCCCTGGAATATTTAGACTATGCCCCCTGGAAAATTAAAAATATGGAGAAAGCATGGAAAATAATAAAGAGTTTAATTAAAAGAGAAGATGAAAATTTAAAAAAAAATATTTAAAAAAAATATTAAAAAGCCAGAAAACAAAATACCAATTATTTTGAAAATATAATGATTTTGTTATTGATATTTATATTTGATAATATTTCTATTTGTTGATATTATTATTCAATGATTTATCATATTATTTGTTTAAATTAAAAAAAATAATATTAAAATTTAGTGTTTTTATTATATTGTTTTTAACTTTTGATTCAGTATGATTATAATTATAATTATAATTAATATCTCAATTATTTAAAGAAATCATTATCTTTTTATTGCATTATATATCACAGTATATATGATTTATTGATTGTATAAGTAAAATTTAAAGTTTTATTTTACTATGGTGTTTAAGATAACTAAGCTATTCAAATATTTGAATTTCTTTTTCTTCTAAATGTTATATTTAATAATTAAAATTTATTTTTAATGTTTGAATGCCCTCCAGTGTGGCAAAAATTATAAATTCATTATGGAGGTATCATAAAATGTTAAAACCAATACTAGGAAACTTACCCCAGCTTTCTCTGGTTCATGCATAATTCTTGAAAAAATTTCTGATGTTAATTATAAAATGAATCAAAGGAATACTCATAAGAAAGAAAGTACAGAAATAGTTCATGTATCAAAATAATGAAGTTACCACCCACCTGACAAACTGAGCTTATGTCATGAATGAAAAAAAAATTAATAATGTGAATAATATTGTGGTTTAATAATAGAATTAATTATATTTTAAATTAAATTTAATGTTTTAATGGTTTTTCATTCCTAAAAGTGAAATTAAAAATTCCGATTATGACCTAACAGTTACACATGGTTCAGTGGAACCTGTTGTCTCCTTTTTTTCTGGAAGATCGGAC